CATTCACTACCTCTAATAGAGAGTAAAATTCGAAATTCCTCCTACTGAAATTCGAAAAGTGCATTGAGATTAAAATAGGTTTTTTAATGTAATAATTTAAATTTGCACGTATAATTTAGGAAATTAAACGTTTTAGATGTTTTTATTATATATTTTATTATAATTTGTACGTATATTACGTTATTTGCACGTATTAGGTCTTTATTATTTGTACGTACATAACACCTTATTTGCACGTATATAGCCTATAAAATGAACGAAAAAAAATGAAATTTTTATTATACCAAGTTAAAAAAACTGTTTAAAACACTGGACAACATATAATCAATATAAAATTATTTAAAAATTTAACAAATATTGTTTCTGGCATATGTGCCTAATAATATTACCGAACGGTTGGTCGCCGTACCGTTCGCGCCACAGAAATTCTGCCAAGTAAGTGTGCCTCAGGCTCTTCGACGTGCCGTACATTAATTTGAATTTGGCTTTCAAACGTGCCCACATGGATTCAACGTTTTGGATGTGTACTCCTGTCATTGGGTCAACAAAATTTTGGGAGTAGTTGACTGTCAAATGAGTGTAGCCCATATTTCTCAGCTGGCTATAGGCACGCCACTCATCTGACACGATGGTTGTGCCAGGAGCAATCCACTTTTGTATCAACGGCAACAACGTTTGTGAATTCCGGGCCACGACTTCTTCCACAAAACAAAACTTTGTATCACGTTGGATTCCTCCAAAAATCCAACCTTCATTGGCACCCACATTTCTCCCCCTCTGATATTTGGCCTTCATTAATTTGGATTCATTAATCTCTACGATTGTGCCAGGGCCACCTATCTGGTTAATTTATAAATAATTTTTTGAGCATTGTAATATAATTTCAATTTTTATTAAATTGTTGACAAACTTTAACTTTAAACCTACCTTGTCAATTTGCTCTACGCATTTAAACTGACAAATGTCACGACAAAAACTGAACCAATCAACAACTGTTTTTGGACTCAGTTTCAGTTCGTGACATGTCGTACTCACCGACATTCTTCGTGACCAGAAATACACCATACGAACAATTAGGCTAAGTCATAGGTGTTCTATCAAAGAATGAATCTGTCCTGATGCTACATCTTTTTCGAAAAATTTATAAGTATTAATTAACATTTAAATTAATAAATTAAAAATACTTCAAATATTAAACTTATGAACCTTCTTTGGCACCCTCTTGCCGGACAACGCCATACAACTCCATCCTTCTTTACATTGCTTTTACACGTGACCTCTACCATTTTGCAACCTCAATTATAACAGTACATTTCACGGTAAGATTAGTCCGTGAAATCTGAGCCACTACCTCGTTACGCGTCTATTTTTTGTTAGACGCACGACCAGGTCAGTAAACGTAACGCCGCCAGCCATCCTAACGGTTTCAAAATATTATAACATATATTACTCGTTATTACAAGTCATTATAAGTTAATGCTTAAACAATTATAAATTATAAAATTAATGTAACCTTGGTTTTTGGACAAATTCTCTTTTATTAAAACAACCACGAGAACAACCACGAGAACACAGAAAGGTTGGAAAAGGAAATACATGTGACTTTTTCTTTGAAACTTTAGAAAAAAAACTAAAAACTTCCGAAAAAATTATTAAAATTTAATTAAACCTGTTTTAATAAATTGATTTTAATAAATTTTAATATATATATATATATTGTTATTTTAATCAATATATTACTTTTTTTGACTGATAAATAAGACCAAATTAATTTTCCATAATAAAATTGATTGATTGAAAGTGCCTACCATTAGAAAACATTGTGTCCGGGTGGCGCCTATTTTTTTAAAAAAAAAACGTGCACATAAAACGGCTATGTTAAAAATATAACACATAAAACGGCTATGTTAAAAATATAATTCTGTTTAATTTGAAAAAAAAACTACGAAATCCCTTAACCGTTAACAAATCTTGCGATTTCGTTTGCTCTAAATCTATTTTTAAAATTTTAATTATTGCATTTTTCATTTTATAAAACCCTGTTTTACACACAATTCCCTGGAGAATGACTTGATTTGTACGGTTGTGCGCGAAAATACTTTCCTATGTTTATCTTAGTTTTCCTATTATTTTCCTTACAAAAAAAACCTCTTGCACGGGTAATTTTTGATACGTAAGATATGTATGATTAGGCCTAGTCGGAAGATTTTGATGAAACAATCTTTCGTTATGATAGTTTGACTTCCTTGAGTTATAACTATTCAAGCTATTTTGATGCAAAAGTTAATTAAGGTAATTGAATGAATAAATAACCAGTAGTCATTCATATAAATTAACTTATATGGAACAAATGATTAGCCCATGCCGATCAAATGTTAACCGGGTGGACGTATAATTACAAACACAATTTAGCAATCAGTGACAGCAAACGAAAAGTTAGCAAGCAAAAAATAAGCTATCAAACAATGACACATCACACTGGACACACCCGATGGTGCAACGGTAAAGTGCTTGGCACTGGATTCGATCGCAGAGACCCCCGCCTACCGCATGCGATGCATCGTCCAACGTTTATTTACTGAACACTGTGTGATTTTGATGATGCCTCTATGAAAAATTTTAAAGAGAAGATCGTAATATATGAATGAGAAACAAAAAATGGTTTACACCTTGGAATTTTATCGGCAAACAATATTATAAACGTGTAAGTATACAGTATAGTTGGGGTACCACAATTAAGAATATTAAAAAATGCCATAAAATATTAAAATGTATTCAAATAACAACAACGAAAATAATAATTAAAAAACAAATTAAAAAAAATTTCATGGATAAATCATGTTCAGTTAGGTCCGAGGTCAAGTAATTACAAATTCAACTTAAATCAATCATGATTTGAGTACACATCGTCCGTCTTAATGTGCGCGCGCGCGCACACACACACACACACACACACACACACAAAAGCATTCACGCCACACACACACACACACAAAAGCATTCACGCCACATACACACACACACACACACATAAAAGCATTCACGCCACATACACACACACACACTCTCTCTCTCACTCTAACATGCATAAATAAACACACACACACATTTATTCAAATTATGAAAATTAAATTTAAATGAATGAGGAAAACTGTGTAAGAGTAAGTGGGAGGTCAGCCTTTGAGAAGCCTCATGAGAGGAATAAAATCACATCCTCCTCCATTCATGGTGATACTCCCGTCCACGTGCAGCAAGAATTGAAATATAAGCTGGTGAACATTTCATTAAATTCTAAAATGTGGATTACGTAAGAATGAATTAGCAGTACCGAAATATCGAGTAGACCGAGAAATAGCACATAATATCGGAAACATCTATCGCAATCAGTATTAGGAATATAAGAAGCTGGTAAATGATTAATTAAATAAATATAAACACACACACACACACACAAATATATATATATACACAATTTAAATATGTGGATAAGAAGCAGGCGGGAAGCAGAGCACATCTAACTGTTGTGTTGCTAAATAACAATGTGTGCAAGAATGAAGTGATGAGGGTATACGTCAGAAATGATGATGAAATGAATGATTAACTTGAAATAAATGATACACGATTGGAAATTTTTTTAAAGAAAAATATTTGAAAATAAATTTTTAAAGATCTGTAACAGCAGTTTAAAGTATAGCAAAAAAACTATGAATGAATGAATGAATGAATGGATGAATGAATGAATAGTAAACATAACCCAACTGCAGTGGATATTAATTATCATTTATACGGACTGTTAATAAACAAATAATAAGTCATTAAAAGTTACTGACATCCAACCGATCAACAATAATCTGAATGTCAAATGAACAAATTTCATAACACCAAAAAAATATTTCAAAATGAGTGAAGAGAATGGCTCAAAATAATATCCCAAATTGAAAAACTAGAAAATAAGATCTGAAATATTAAGGAATAAATTACAACGATAATATGTAGAATGCGAACTGTTTGGGAAGCGAAAAAGAAAAACAAATCAAGGGCAAAATTTTCAGCATGTAACGTTTGAACTTTCACAGGTTACAACATACCTGGCTGAACAATGGATTCAGTTTGAAACTTTGAAGACTTTAATTATTTAATTAGTTAATTAATTAATCGCCATTTGTATTATCTGTTCATCTCCATAGCCTGCTTAGGAACGAGCGTGCACTGGTATTATCCTCAAGTACATACATGCAAATGAACGTGATCGTAAAAATAGTATACCTAAATACTGCTAATTAAAATAGTCACTTTGATACTGAATTAAACAAATATATACAGGAAAATTTATGCAGAGACGAGTTTCAACTGAAACAAACAACAGATTATGGTGAGTAAATTTGAAAAAGTTATGAAAATTCAATTCAAATGAATGAGGAAAACTGTGTAAGAGTAAGTTGGAGGTCAGCCTTTGAGAAGCCTCATGAGAGGAATGGAATCACATCCTCCTCCATCCATGGTGATATTTCCGGCTCTAAGTTGGCTCTCAACGACGATGTCATTTATATGCGTGCAACATGAATTGAAATATAAGCTGGTGAGTAATTCGTGAAATTATGAATGAATGCTTGCGTTGGGGAGTTAGAATGTAAATTTTAAAAAATATTTTCAATATCCCGACTGAGAGACCAAATAATAATTGGAATTTCTATAGATGTTAGTCCATTAACAAATCAATAAACCACATTTCAGCGAAGAAAATAATATATACATATATACATACACATATACATACCTATATGTGACACATAGCAAACGTAAAGGTGTGCAACATGGTAGAACTTGAAACAAAACAAAACCTCCTTTTCAAAAGAACAATGCATGATATATTTTGAAAAAGAATAAAATGAATGAAAGTTCAATATCTTGCTGAAAATTGTAAGCAGTATAAGCAGCAGCAAACGGCCAGCTAACCAGCTGCCAGTGAATTGAATGATCGATCCACCGGCTCATTGAAAAATGTCATCATCAATAAAATTATACATCAACCAATGATTAAAAAAGTCGATTGATGAATGAATGAATGAATGAATGAACAATTGAATAAAGAATGCATGAATGAACGAACGATTAAACCAATCGGTTCATTCGTTCGTTCATTCGATAATGAACTAATGAGAGGTCTGTTTGAGAAGCCACTGGACGAGCTGGTCTTCCGACTTGGCCTTCCAGTTGATGTTCATACGAACGGCATCCAGGAGTTCAATGTTCAGTCGGGCAGTCTCCTTACTCATGTGCTCGTTCAGGAATGTTTGTAACTGTCCGTTGGTTTGGTAGGTGGGTTGGTGTAGTGTATCAATTAATATGTAATAAACATGCAAGGCAGCTTATCACACACACACGCACGCACACACACACATACACACACGAACACGCAAATAGATGAAATAAAAATTGTATCAATCACAAAAAGAAAAAAATTACTTATTTTCCATGTAAAAAATACCCAAATACCAGTTTAATTCAGTTTACTTGTGTAACAAACATAGTGGGAAATTTTGAATAATTTTGAATGAAATTTTTTTGCGCAAAAAATGAATAGTAACTGTTCCCAGCCCAGTGAAGTTAATTGGTCCTCAAATAAAAGCGACATGCCCACAAACTAAAAATAGTCATCACCATCATCAACACCACACTACCACCACCATCATCGTCATCATGAAAACCACACCACCATCATCATCATCCTCAACACCACACCACCACCCTCATCATCATCACAACCACACCACCATCCCCATCATCATCATCATCCTCAACACCACACCACCATCCTCCTCCTCATCATCCTCATCATCACCCCCACTGACCTCGTCATATTCGACCTCTGTGGAGAAGAGGAATGAGGCGAACCTCACGATGGCTCTGGACCTCTTGGGCATGCCATGAATTCTTATAGCAGATGATGATGGAGTCAGTGAAGGTTGAGTGAGTGAGTGAGTGAGTGAGTGAGTGAGTGAGTGAGTGAGTGAGTGAGTGTCAGGTACATTTAACATTGTCGAGTCATCCTCATATCAAAGTTATCCAGTTTGCGTGAAAATTATTTTTAAATTGGATTTTTTTGAAGTTCATAAAGTGAAACGATATCAGAACAAAGCATCAACAAAAAAAAACGAGCAAATAAATAAAAAATATATAAATAAATAAATAAATTAATCAGTTAATACAATCATAAAAATAAATGAATAAATTAATTGATTAATCAGTTAATATAATCATAAAAATTTATCAAAGCACAAAAACAGGATCAGAAAAAAAGAAGATAGCTTGAAGAGGAGACTGACCTATCATTGATGAGTGACCAGTTCTTCTTGATGAAGTTCCACAGTACCAACTGACCGGCTGAATGCTTTCCAACTCCTGTCAATGTTCCCAGACACTCGTTCGTCTTCATTAGAGTCTGGTTCAAAGACATCTCCAACAGTCTGATTGATTGATTGAATGAGTGAATGTCACTCATTCAATCAATCAGACTGATTGAATGAGTGAATAATTGAATGAGTGAATAATTGAATGAATGAATGAATGAATGAATGAATGACGGAATAAATGTATGATTGATTGAATGGTTGAACAATTGACTAATAAAGTTGGAATGATTGAAAAGACAAAAAAAATTGTTTCATGGACTTACAACTCTCAATCATTTCTTATTAAAACTCAACTAATAAAATTTCAATTAAGGTTTTAGATGAAAATCAAAGCTCAAATCAGCACAACAAAACACTTCATTTTTTATTAAAGATAATCATAAAATAACCTCTTAATTTTTTTTTAAACTTAAATAAAACATATATACTCTCGACAAATTTCTCATCATTTTAAATTATCTCTCACATCTTATCTAGCAGATAACATGGGCAAAAAGCAAACCAACCAAACAAGCAACTACACAAATCCAAATGGACTAATTAGGCAGAGGCAGAGGCGCAAGCACACACAGACCTACCTAGTGACTCTGAGGACATCATTACTGAAGGTCAGTGCATCCAGCATGACGGCTTTCTGGGCCTGGCTGGTGTTGCTAGACATGGCGCTATTCATGACAAAGTCCCATTCCTCGGCCCCGCCGTACTTCACTGCGTACCGGAAGACTATGGACTGCTGGTTGGGACTTAATCTGTTCAGTGCCAGGAGAAACGATGATACGATACAATTCAATACGATACAATAAAATTCAATAAAATACAATTCAATAGAATACAATACAATACAATACAATTCAACACAATAAAATAAAATTCAATGCAATAATGGCAGATCAATCATGTAGGACATAAATTATCACTGCAATTATATCACTATCTCATTCGTATTCATCATGATATCATCCATAAATTATATCAAAATTTCATTCATTATTCATAATAATTAGATGATATATTCCATAAATTATATAATTATATCAAAATTTTATTTATTATTCATAATAATTAGATGATATCTTCCATGAATTACATCAAAATGTCATTCATTATCGATAATAATTAGATGATATCTTCCATAAATTATATCAAAATGTCATTCATTATTGATAATAATTAGATGATATCTTCCATAAATTATATCAAAATTTCATTCATTATTGATAATAATTAGATGATATCTTCCAAGAATACATTTATATGATAGAAACACACATTACGAATACCACATGTCGATAGCTTGCTATTCAACAGAGTTTATAAACCAAGAACAACAACACTAAAACAACATTACAACAACACACACACACACACACATACAACCACACACACACACACACACACACACAACCTCACGCACACCCGAATGACGTAACGGTCACTCAAAATCCCGATGTGACCCACCCAGCCACTCACCCACCAACTAACCTCAATGATCCATTAACCATCTGCTTGAAGGACCTCATCACCCAATCAACATACTCCTGGAAGCCGAGCCTCGTTGCAAGGGACATCAACTCTATCCTTATCAATCTGTTGGTTGGTGGGAGTTGGGATACAAACTACAAAGATACAAATTATACGGATACAATTAATGAGGATACAATCAATGAGGATACAATTAATGAGGATACAATCAATAATGCGGACACTGATAATACGGATACAATTAATACGGATACAATAAATAAGGATACAATTAATACGGATACAAATAATAAGGATACAATAAATACGGATACAAATAATAAGGATACAATTAATACGGATACAATTAATAAGGATACAATTAATAAGAATACAATTAATAAGGATACAAATAATACGGATACAAATAATAAGGATACAATAAATACGGATATAAATAATAAGGATACAATTAATAAGGATACAATTAATGAGGATACAAATAATACGGATACAATTAATACGGATATAATTAATAAGGATACAATTAATAAGGATACAATTAATACGGATACAATTAATAAAGATACAATTATTAAGGATACAATTAATGCGACCTAAGAAATGTAAACTTTTGCTGGCCTAAGAAGTGTAAAGCTTCTCTAAAATTCTTAGTAAATTTATTTCACAACACTTTATTAGAGTTTTTTTTATTGGTTTTTTTTTTTAAATTACTTGGTATCGTGGTCTCCAACATCTTCCCATCCAAGTTTCTTCAAGATTGGAGTCATCAACTTCTTCATAACATCCTGTTGTGTTGTAATGTTGTTGTGTGTTGTTGTTAGTGTAATGTTGTGGCGTGTTGTTATTAACGTTACGATGTTGTTGTGTGTTGTTGTAATGTTGTTGTGTGTTGCTATTGTAACAATGTTGCTGTGTGTTGTTATTGTTATTGTTGTTGTTGTGTGTTGTTATTGTTGTTGTAATGTTGTTGTGTGTTGTTGCTGTTGTGTGTTGTTGCTGTTGTAATGTTGATGTGTGTTGTTATTTTTGTTGTGTGTTATTATTTTTGTTGTGTGTTGTTGTTGTTGTTGTAGTGTTGCTGTGTGTTGTTATTGTAACGTTGTTGTTGTTGTAATGTTGTTGTGTGTCGTTGTTGTGTGTTGTATTATTGCGTTTTTAATGAAATAGTGTTGAGTGTTGTTATTGTAATTTTGTTGTCGTTGTTGTGTTCTGGCTACACAATCCTTAAAACCATATCATCATCAAAGTAACCACCACAGTCATCCTCATCATCATCACCATCGTCATCATTTCCAGTCTCAATGCTACTATCATAATCACAATAATATCATATCTGTCACCAGCATCCAAATCATCATCGCAACCACCACCATTATCATCATCATCATCATCAATACAATCATCACATTATCATCATCATCACTACCACCATCATCATTACAATCATCCTCACAATCATTACATCATCATCACCACCATCATCATGATAATCATTACACCACCATCATCATCACAATCATGACCACCATCATCACAACCACTACTACCACCACCATCCTCATCATCATCATCATCACAACCATTACCATCATCATCATCACAACCACCACTATCACCACCACCACCATCACCACTCTCATCATAATCACCGTAAACAGCTGATAATGAGTGTTCGTCTTGAACCTGTAGTCCATCATCTTGATGTTCCCCATCATCATCCTCCAGGGGTTGTAACTCCCCTCCCTCTCCAGGTACAACGAGAGGTCGAGCGCCATCGTCAGGTTCGTGTGGCCGGTGCTGTTGTGGTGGTGGCGGCGATGATGGTGGTAGTGGTGGTGAATGATGATGATAGTGGTGAATGGTGACGGATGATGGATGACGGATGATGGTGGTGATGATGATGGTGGTGATGACGGATGTGAATTATGATGACAGTGATGATGATGGTAGTGAATTTTGATGATAATGATGAATGATGTGAATTATGATGGCAGTGATGATGAATGATGATGGTGATGAATGGTGATGATGATGGCAGCGGTGAATGATGACAGTGAAGATGGTGAATGATGATGGATGTGAATTATGACGACTGTGATAACGACAATGATGATGGCAATGGTGAACGATTGCGGTAGATGATGACGATAGCGATGATTAATTATTGTAGTGATTATGGTGAATTACGTTGGTGATAAAAAAAAAAAACTTGAACTGCAACAAAGGATGAATTGATACTCGGTGCTTAGCACTGATAAAAGCCAGAAAATTAATCACTCAAGACGACATAAATGTAGATGGAATGAATGAAATTTCAACGAAAACTAAATGGAAAAATGAATGTCTCCATCTAGACGAACACTCCAGAAACCTAACGAGGGAGAAGATATCATTGATCAAATTGCCTCTGTCGATTGCAGTGAAGACCTGTGTAGTGGTAAGTGATGGTCTCTGAGTATCTCAGATAGCAAGAATTCTGGTGATACTCTTGTATTCATGTTATGCATGAGATACATTTGTATCTTTAGTATGTATGGGATAAATCTGTATCTATATTATGTATGGGATATATTTGTATCTATAGTATGTATTGGATATATTTGTATCTATAGTATGTATGAGATATATTTGTGTCTATAGTATGTATGGGATATATTTGTGTCTATAGTATGTATGGGATATATTTGTATCTATAGTATGTATGAGATATATTTGTATCTATATTATGTATGGGATACATTTGTATCTATAGTATGTATGAGATATATCTGTATCTATATTATGTATGGGATATATTTGTATCCATATATATTAACATCATCATCATCATTGCAAGTGTCATCATCATCACCAATGTCATCATCATAATCATCATCATCATCATTATTACAAAAACCCCTACCCTCATCATCATCCTTGAAATACATAATAACATTCATATCGTCTATCATAACTATCATAAAAACCACCACAACTATCACTCTCAAAAACATCATCATCATAATCTTCGCAGTTTTCAACATCATCATCCTCATCTCCCTCATTACCATCATCATCATCCTCATCCTCATCATCATCATCAACACGTTAAAATGTATTTACAGTGTGATCGGATTTGAGTTGCCTAATGATGTCAGACCATCCATTATCATCGTAGTGCACTCTGTAGAAACCTGGAAAAGACGAACAATACCATCATCACCACCATCATCATCACCTTCATCAACAACAACAAGGACGACGACGACAACAACAACTCCATTATCATCACCATCTTCCTCCTTCTCATCACCAACATTACCATCTTCATCATCCCCATCCTCTCCAATATCACCATCATCATCATCACCACCATCTTAAATATCGTCATCATCACCATCACCATCATCTTTAACATCTTCATCATCACAAACTACTCCATCATCATCACCATCCTCCTCCTCATCAACATCACCATCTTCATCAACAACGACATTAAAGATCACCCCACCACCGTCCACCTGTCATGTTTGAATTCGCTTTCAACCAATTAACATCCTCTGGCAGTTCAAACCTTACTGGATAAAAAACGAATGAAAGATAAAAAATAAATGAACGAAAGATAAAAAATAAAAGAATATCACCTCTATTACAGCTCTCGTTATCATAATTATCATGAACATAATCACGTATAATCATCATTACTATCACCGCATCAATCCTCATCATAACTCTCTTCGTCGTCATTATCATCATCATCATCATCATCTTTATCATCATCGTCCCAGCAGCAGCAGCACACACGTGTTTTTTCCTTCATGAAGTACATGGAATGGTTGTTTGGATGTCTGTCGGTCACAAAGGTCAGCGGAATGAACCACAAGTAACTGGAGGCAGGTAGGTATTTTAATTAACATAATTCATAATTAATCATATTTACAATTAATTAACTAATTAATTAATTAATTAGACACCACCAACTTAAAGCGGGAAGGCTCAACTTGCACGCCTGCCAGTTTCGACTGGTCAGTGATGACGTACCTCTCCTGGCGACACGTCACCTGTCGACCGTTCCTGCTCATGCTGACTACAGGGAAGCCCATCTGCAGAGTCCACGTGTCCATCATTTCTTTCACGTTGATGTGCATGGTGTCTTTCAACTGTGAGTGCGTGCGTTTGTGTGTGTGTGTATGTGCGTGTGTGTTTGTGTGTACGTCCAATTTCAGTGGACTAGAGTTGAGTTGAGATTTCAGATCATATCTGCGAATGTTTGGCATAAAGATAAGCAAAATAACTTCCCAATAAACTCAATTGTAAATAAGGGGAGAGAGCAGTAGGAGTTAAACTGGAACCTGCTGAGTGAAAGATTCCCAGAGGTCGTTGTTGTTGGCAGTATCAAACTGGTGCTTGGTCAGGTAGTTCTTCAGGGCTCTGTAGAAGACGTCCGGTCCAACGACATTCTCCAACATTCGAATCACCGACGCTCCCTGCCATGCAACAGAAAAATTGAAACGTGCGAACGTCAAATGAAAACATTTGAAGAATATCCAAAAATATGAAAAATTGAGGGACGACGCCATATTAATGAAAAATAAGGTCGATGCTGGCGTTTGAAAATGATGTCGAAGAACATTTTAAAACAGATACAAATACTTCCAAAAAGATGAACGCGGCAAACAAACGAATGAACAAACAAACAAACAATTGAACAAACAAACAAGCAACCAGCAAACAAACACAAGGAAACCTTGTCATAAGAGATGCTGTCAAATATCTCGTTGATCTCGTTCGGGTCGTAAACCGGATCGGATATTGAGTGGGACGCATCCGAGGAGTCTGCAACCATGGCAACTGCCATCGTCTGACATGTAAAGATCTCCATCTGTCGGAGATCATTTGCTAACTTTCAAAACATCGCCACCATCTTTTCCCCAGACCGAAATGGTGACAAAAAATTTCAATATGATAATCATTTAAAAAAATTTAGGTGTATAATGCTGCAAAGAAAACTTGTCGTTTCAACTACTTCATCATCGAAACCATTTCAAACCGTAGTAAAGGAAAGGCTTATTGTCAACAATCATCTTAACTCTTGTAATTCAAGTCCACCAACCCAATTCAATTATGTAACAATGAACATGTAGCAATTAATTCAAGCAAGCGTCAAGAAATGCATACAATAATTTTCTTAATGTGAGTTTCTATAAAAATATGCTCGTTTTAGAAACCCGCCACCAGTTTATTTCTACACTATACAACATCAATCTCAGTTAACCTCAACCTCCAAATACGACATGAACACGATAAACAAAAAACTAGCAACAAACAAACAAACAAACCAACAGACAAACCAACAAACAAACAAGCAAGCAAACAAACAAACAAACAAACAGACCAACAAACAGACCAACAAACAAACCAACAGACAAACCAACAAACAAACCAACAAACAAACCAACAAACAAACCAACAAACAAACCAACAAACAAACCAACAAACAAACCAACAAACAAACCAACAAACAAACAAACAAACAAACAAACAGACCATAGGCCAATCAGGGAAGATGTGATTGGTCCCGACGTACTCGATGTACTTGGCAAACCCTTCATTAAGCCACAGATCATTCCACCACTCCATCGTTACCAGGTTGCCAAACCACTGAAAACATGGGACATCTAACTTACTACAAGACAACAACAACAATAACAGCAGCAACAACAACAACAACAGCAATAACGACACAACAACACAACAACAACAGCAACAGCAACAACAGCAACAACACCACCACCAACAACAACAGCAACAATAACAACAACAACAACACGGTTGCTACTACACAATCACAAAGAATTCCTCCAGTAACACAAGCAATCAATTACATGCCCAGCCAACCTGATGAGCCAACTCATGAGCCACGACGACAACCACCATGTTCTTGTCGTGCTCTGAATTTCGACTCTCATTCAAGAGGAGGTACTTTGAAATGTAGAGCACCGGTCCCCAGTTCTCCATGGCACCAACCGACATGTCGGGTATGGCCACGTTGTCTGGCGTCGAAGGGTTGGGGGTCAATTTGATTAAAGAGTGGAATCATACATTATAATTGGCATGCATACCGTCAGCTGGATGGAGGTCGTTGAATTTTAATGTGGAAAAAACAAATGCAGTTAAACTAACAATTAACACGAACGAACTTCAATGTATATCTTAACAGCGTGTATTGAAAAATGTCAAACACGTGTTTTTTTTTTAAAAATCAGACAGTAAAATATGAGGAAAATCATACTGAGTTTAAATTTAAATATGAAGGACATGAAATTTTAATGTGAACAATCCAATGCCCATCAATAAACAATTAACATGAAATTTCTCTTCCATTAAACTCTGATGGAAATATGAGAGAATGTCGTAAATCAATCTAAAGTTCACTCCATTCAATTTAATTTTGTACCTATTTGCGTCATAACATTAAACATGGTACGAATAAGGTGAACCCTTCATATGTTCTGCCTCAACAGTTGAAGCTAGCACCAGCACAGATCACCAATGAACAATTTCTAATTCTAAAAATATGAAAAATAGGAAACTGCTTGGAAGTAAAAAAAAGTGCTTCCAAGCGTTATAATAGAGGTAGGGTTAGGGTACTTGAAACCAAAAATGGGACTAACCAAGTTTCTTCAGAGGATACTTGATGCCATAGAAATCCTCGTAAAAGTCGAGTATTTTGGTGGCTTTGTCCAGGGCGACGTTGACGTCATTGATGGCTTCCGGTGGGGCGTACACCGAGATCTTCAATTTCAGTGATGTGTATGTATGTGAGTGTTTGTGTATGTCAGTGTGTGTTTCTGTGAGTGTGTTTATGTGAATGTAAATGTGTACGTATAAGTAGATGTAATTGTGTGCGTGTAAGTGTGTATATATATATATATATATGTATATAAATATATATATATGTATGTGTGTTAAAGGTTAAAGATTACTCTCTCTTTTGCGCTTACTTCAGAGGTTTCAACGACAAACCACGCATCATATACATTGCATATGATAGGCGGGGATCTCTTTGTATTCGAACCCAGTCACTTCAGCAGCAAGACCAGGCGCTTTTAACCATTGAGACATCATGTGTGTAGACATAAATGTATGTTTATTTGTGCTTATGTACAAGCAAGTGGGTATGTATAAGTGTGTGCGGTGTGATTGTGGGCGCGTCATAAAATAAAAAATATATTTTATAAAAGAAGTTAATGGCAGCTTTACAAACAGTTTAATTTATGCAAAAAACAACCTTAATTAGAACATCTCAAGTTTACATTTCTATGGCTAAAAATTAAAAATTCTTAAATGATTTGCATTTTTATTACAGAATAATTTCCTGATTGAAGGTGCAACAAATTATTTGAAGTGATAAAAAAGTTGATTTTTTACTAAAATGTTGTAAGTTTTTTTTTTATAAACTTTTGAACACTACTTAGTAATGAGAACAGTTTTTCTTCAAATAATGCCATTTTATAAGAATATGCGAAAGGATAACTATTTGAAGGTAAGAAAAGCAGCTCAACGCTGTCACTCACATGTCTACCGTGATTATAATCTGCATTTTAATTTCACGTGATTCAACAAAACAGAAGTGGTTTGAGAAATAAACAAATTTGTTACCAGCAGATAGATCATGAGCAAGGTCATTAGCAAGAAACAAAAATATTTACATCAGCTGAATTGAAAAAAAAACTACAAGCTATCTGCAACTTATAAAGTGTCACCACCACAACTTATCATCATCATCATCACCATTATCATCATCATCATCATCAGCAGTAGTAGCAGCATCGCCATCGTTATCAGCATCACCACCATCTTTCCACCGACTCACATTGACTCCACTTTTGCTCAGCTGTGACTTGGAGAGGTAGTCGCAAACAACGAATGCCACCAAGTATGTGCTCATCTTGAGGGTTGTGTTGAAGATGTCCATCGTTTCGTTCTCTGAAATCATTTTCTCTGCTACCTAGGCAAGACAAAAATGAAAGCATGCTCATTTTGGCCATTTTACTTTTGGTTGAAGAGAGATAAAATTGGTAATATAGACTGATCAGATAATAAGAATGCTATATTTTTATTGTGCAATCACCTGACTCAAATGCAAGAAGAACTTTAAAAACATCACAAAATATCCAGCACACAACACAAAAACCTCCACTACACCACACGAATTGAAAATGGAATCAAAGACACTATGCAGCAGACAGTACAGAGGAATTAGAAACAAAAAATTAATAGTACAAAAAGAAGTCAAATGTAAATAAATTAATTAATAAGTTATAATTAACTCTATTGTACTTTAGAAAATTTTGAAAAGTTGATGACTGAGAAGAATTTCAAAAACTGATTGTTAAGAGGGGTCTAAACTTAGAAATGAGGCGATCTTTGTTTAATAAATAAGTTAAAAAATTAAAAACATTTTTGAAAAAATGAATTGAAAATGGAATCAAAGACAACATGTAGAAGACAGCAGAGAAACAAAAAGTAACAGTGGGTAACAAAAAGAAGTCAAATGTAAACAAATTAATTAATAATAGTTATAAATAACTTTATTGCACTTTACTCATCAAATACGCAATTTGTACCTTCCTCAAAGAAAAGAACTTATTCACTAGTGAATTGAGAAAAACACAGACAATAATATATATATATATATATATATATATATATATATATAATTAATTAATTTGATTATTTGATATAGTAATTGTTCTGTTAATAATCTAATGAGTTTTAAAAAGAATTTTCAGATAGACATGCATCAAAAGATGCTACTAAAACAAACGAACAAACAAACAACACACATGACAACAATAACAACAGCATACACACACACACCAAAACACACACACAACACACCAAAACACACACATACACAACCCACCAAAACACACACATACACAACACACCAAAACACACACACACACTAACACAGGCATCAATACACAGACATACCTTCTCAGTATTGAACAGTGAGATGTAATCCTTTGGTCTGATGATGTTGAACTTGAAGTGTGCCTTCATGTGAGGTTCGTCAAAACAAGGAAATGCTGACCTTGCTTCTGTCGGTTCAAACTGCGTGGCTGCCAAATATCTTTCAAGTTGGATGAACATAACCAAGTTTAAATTTAAGAACTTCTAATAAACAATGACATTCATCTCTCATTCTCTCATTCAAACTTTCATCAAAAAACGTCTTAAAAAGGCATTTAATAAAGCAAGGCTTTGAAGGTCAGGCGGACATTTATACATTAAAACACCATAAAATTTAAATGTAGAAAACTGAATGCATCTTATTGTATACAGCATAATTGCAGGACTCAACAACCCAACAAGACACAAGACAACAGCATGCCTGAATAGGCCTCAAAACTTTCAACTTCATTTTATAAGTTATCTCTATCGGACAATATTCAACTCAGTAGCACAATCATTTATGGATTAGATCGTTTTAAAAATTAAACAAAATCAACGGAATAAATTGTTTAAGAAAAACACCAAAACCACAAATGTTAGCAATAAATTTCTATGCAGCACAGTTACTGTTACAAATATCTTGTTCCAGTAATATATTGATACATCTGAAATAGGTCAATGGAGGAACAAACCTCTTAACACCACCTCTAGTGATATAAAAATTGAGAAAAAATCCATTCATATTGTCACTGAGTACTCCGTGGAAAGATACATTGATGAGTATGGTTGATCCAGCGATGAGGTTGGATGTCAGTTCGATGTACAACTGCTCACGTTCAACTGAGATCAAATACTTCTTCATTTCTATCCTGTCTGTTGTTGTTGTTGTGTGGTGTTGGTGTGGTCGTCGTTGCTGTTGTTGTTAAAGTGATAATCATAGTGAAAATGTTGAAAAAATTGTTGTTGTGATGTTGCAGTTCTCGTTATTAAGATGAGGATGATAATGACACTGTGGTTGTTGTTGCAAAATGATGATGGTGAAAATGGCGGAAAAAATGTAGTAGGTTGTTGTTACAACGATGATGACGATGATGTTGATAGCAATGATGTTGTGATGATAATGAGGATGTCAGAAAGAAAGATGCTACAATGACGTGAGGTGAAGAATATGGTGACCAAGTGAGATAACTGTGCTAAGAAATGTTTGCAAAATTATAATTAAAATATATTTTGAAAGCCTAATTAATTGCATGTAATGTAACAAGATGAATATAACAAACTCGAGACAAAATTAAAACAAAGAATAATCACTACTGTGGAAAATTTTGATCTAAAAACAATAGCTCTACCAAAAAAATTAACCAGACATCAACTAACCATCTCGGTTCCTATAACGTAAGCCAATGTCAGAGATGTTGAGTTGCTTGACATGCATGACGATGTAATCAGTGCTACTCTTCACAACCACCTCCACACTCGACCAGCCACTAAAATCAAACTTTTCCATGTCAGGATGGATGAGGACCCCGTATGAATGGGGCACCAAAGTTGTTGGTAGTCTTATTTTGTTCCAACGAAACTGACTGCCTTTAACATTAGAGATCTTGTCAGTTGTTGCAGTGTTGGTTGGTTGGCTGATGTTTGTGGAGGGGAGTTTGTGGTCAGCATCGACAGAGGTGTGGTTCGGAGATGGGGGCATCGAGCAAGCTGGTCTGGCAAATGCAGCAATGACAGAAACAGCAAAGAGACAGCAGATGATTGCTGCAACTGTGAACGCTGCCCTCCTTGGACTGCAAGTGTACATTGTTGAGTTGTTCAGCAGGGAGCCTCTGTTGAATAGCAGGTTCTTGTCAGATTTGCTAGTTCCTGGGGGTTAAAAAAAATGTTTAATAAACCAGCTAACAGTTATTCCAAGTTTTAATGTTTATCATAAGCTGCCTCACACAAAATGAGGATAAAATTATATGAACTGTGTTAAACTCATAAACTACAAAAAAGTTGAGTTTGTATTACAGAATATTAATGGTAATCAAACATAAACCAACTTTTGGTTTACAATAGAGTCATATATTAAATTGTTTCGATTTGTTCACAAACAACAATGTTCACGAATTAACTCAAAATAAAACCAATCCAACTTTCCAACTATGAAGTTACTGTAAAAATAAAGTATAATCAATTAACAATGTAACTACTTTAAGATATAAATGTAGTTTTAATGATAATTTATTAATTAATTTTAATTGGAGCAAACAAAAATCAAAGATTGTTCTAATTATAACCAGTTCAACTGTCCTTAATTAAGTCGAATTTAAAACTAAATTTAATTAAACTAGAATAAGTTGCACAATTAGAAAATACTTTAGAAAAAATATTTCAAATTTTATAAACTTTAATAATAATTTGCACTATAGTTAAAGTTAATGAATATCTATTAACAATACAAATATTTGTAGCATCATGTCACTAAAATACTATCACATTGTTTTATCATGTAGAATTGTTGTTGTTGTTGACATTGTTATTTATATCTCATTTGGACATTGGTCTTTGGAGTAAGACTAACTTATATAAAATTACATAAGTTTATAATTAGAATATATAACAAAAGTATGTTATGTTGATTAAGTCTAAGTCAGGTCTAGGTTCAAAACAAATTGAAACAATTTAAATTTAACATATGACTTGGTAAAGTTAGAGACTAGACTAGAGCTAGATCACCAAGAAGGGTATAATGAAATAAATTATAAATTACCGTAATTGTATCATACTATTGATTATTATACTAGGATAAGTATATTTAGGAAAGATGACAAGAAGATTTTATGCTTATTTATTCGCTTGTTCTTATATTTATTTAAAAATTTAAAAAAATACTTGAAAACAAAAACAAGAAAATTAACAAATCTATTAATTTTTGATTTACTTACTTTCAGTTTACTTTACATAAAAATATTAAGTATTTAATTTAATACTTAATTATTTATTTTACACTAATCTACTAACTACCAAATGGCAAATCAAATGCCTAGTTGAATTTTAGAAATAGTTAGAATCTAAAAACCTACACTAACTAAATAAATCTCTAACTCTTCTAACGTGATAAAACTCTAATCTTAAATTTAATTAAATTTTATTTTAAATGAAATAAAAATAACAAAACAACATAATTTTAACTAACCTTCCTAGATAGATAGTTTAACAGTTAAACTTTAACTTAATTATTTTTAAATTTTAACTAATTAACTAATCTTCCCTTGAAATAATATATAAAATAAAAAAATGTCAGAGCTAACCAGAGAATGAGACCTCTTCAATTTCGGCCATCTTTAACTGTTAATTTGTTAAAGTTTAACAAATGAATAAACCACAAGAATCACATTGAAAATAATAGAGACGCCATCATTAAATTAACTGTTAATTTAATTATTAACACATCGATTAACTGGAGGACCTCATTAAAAATGCCGGCCACCCATTGAAAAAGAACGTCAACGCGAGTTAAAATGCTTCCAAATAAGCCGCTTAAGTTAGCCTCGATGGATGGAAATATACAAAATTAAAAATTAAAAAATGCGCTTTAAATTAAATCATTTGAAATGTGGATGGTGGTGTGGTTTTCTCTCCGAGTCAATTTGAATTTAATCTTATTTATTATTCTTATTTATTTACTTATTATTATTTCATTATTATTTATTTACATATTTTTTTTTATTCTCTAGTCAATTTGGATTCATTAAAACTCTTTTATTATCAATAAATCAATAGGGGAAATGAAATAAAAATAAAATAGAATTTCATTATACAGTATAATAAAACCACAGATGCTCATTATCTAGGATAAGTGCTAAAGGTAGTTTATTTAAAATGGTTATACAGTTTTCCTTTCGCAATAAATGGCATACGACAATTTAATAACTAATAATAATAATAATAATAATAATAATAATAATAATAATAACAAAGTTTGAAATGGTTCAGTAGACTAGCATCTGTGTGAGGACCACTACAAAATAAATGTCCTGGGCTTCTCCACTCCATCTAGTTCCAAAAGGTACTCCTGGACAATGGAGAGCTTGCGGAGATTATCGTTGTGTAAATGCCATTACGAAACCAGACAGATATCCAATTCCAAATATTCACAGCATCTCAACAAAACTACATAGCAAAAAGAAATTTTCAAAATTGAACTTATTAAAAGCCTATCACCAGATACCAGTACATGAAAACGATATTGAAAAAAACAGCCGTAATAACACCTTTTGGACTCTTTGAGTACATGTTTATGCCTTTTGGTTTGCGAAATGCAGGATGTACATTCCAAAGATTCATGGATAATATCTTTCTAGGTACCTACTGTGTTTTTGTTTATCTAGACGACATTCTCATATTTTCAGAAAGCACTGAACAACATGAAAAAGATATAGAAATAGTATTTCAAATCCTTAGCGAAAATAATTTGAGAATCTCCATAGACAAGTGCCAACTTTTCAAAGAAAATCTAAATTACCTAGGATTCAACATCAGCGGTGAAGGACTATTTTCTACAAAAGAAAAAATAAACGAAATTGAAGAATTTCCAGTTCCAAATGATACTAAATCTTTACGTGGATTTTTAGGAATGATTGGTTTCTATCGCAAACTCATTCCACAATTTGCAGATATTGTATTTCCACTAACAGAATTAATAAAGTTACACCCAAACTCAAAAACAATAGTGTTTAATAACGAAGAATTGGAAGCCTTTAAAACCATCAAATGTAAACTTGCCAACGTAACAACCCTTCCATATCCAGATTCAAAATGTACAAAATACCACTTAGTTACTGATAGTTCTGCTTACGCCATAGGTGCAGCACTGCATCAAGTATTGATTCAACTCCGGTACCAATCGGTTTCTACTCTAAAAAGTTAACTGAACCACAACGTAACCTTTCTACATTCTAGCAGCGTACCTTTTTCGGTCGCCAGGACAATTAATTAACAACCTACTTTTTTAAAATTATACGTTTAACTTGAATAAATATAGCAAATTTATAATTATATTGCTACTATTAATATACGGATGAGCTATATTTTACATTAAAAAAAACAGAGTTTAACATTAAAATTTTATATGGATATAGATAGGCGCTGCCTATATGCAGTTTGCTATTCGTGTCGGTTTATGAACCTTAGCTCAATTTTGAAGCCACATGCGCCGAATTTTGAAAAAATATCATCGTTTTGGAGGACTAAAGCGGGGCGCAGAACATGGATGGCGAAATTGGGGATTGCCCGCCAAATTCGGAACGGTTGGCAACTATGCATTTGGATTGAGATTTCAAATACAGATGAGAACAAGGGAAGTATCAATTTATGTTTTTCAGGTGAAGGACTCTAATGTGAATAACTGAATATAGAAACAACTAGTTTGAATGTCACGCAGACTCAATGTGACTACAGGCAAGTATATCCAGGAGCTCACATCTTTGGTGTTAAAACAGGAGATGCAGCGGGAGAATTTATCTCATGGGTAAATTTTGTCAAAATAAAAATTAATTTCAACCTAGTCGATTTGTTGACAAAATATTTTTAGTTTATCTCAACTTCGTTTGGTGGCGTAGCCGAAAATTGTTTGCGATGGTCTTCGATTTGAAAATATTTCGGAGCTGTTTTTTTTTCTTAACAAGCAATAATTGTCCAGTTTTCCTAATTAGTCCTAAGTTAAATCGTGATTGATAGATCGCTATTTTACATTTCATGGCTGTAAGAGTACTGAAAAAGATATCGTTTAATAACACTTCTCCCTAGCTTCGCCTCTGATTTTATAACTATTCTTCAATAAATATTTTGGGTCAAAGTTTAATGACTGCCCTCAATTTAAAACAAATTAATGTGGTTAGTTTAAACGATACTATTTTTAAACTAACGAAATCTTTGTGATTCTTCAAAAAATATAAAATATTTCTCGACACAGCAACTGCGAACCAACGACAGCACTATGTAGCAATAGAGATATCTTGACGTAAAATTAGAAGTCAACACACTTAACAACTTCTGTGAATAGATAGTAAACAAATAATAAGAAATAAAATAAATAAGAAATTAATAAACAAAATGTTGTAATAAATTTTTATAAAAAATTGCAGCATGGCTCATTTATGAATGGTGGTCTTTCGTATGGATTGGAGATAGCAGCTCCCCGAGGTCCTCACCACAAGTGCCTACCAACTTCTCCAGTCATATCTATTGAAAAAAGAATTTACCTTGTTTGCCGTATTTAAACAATTACTAAACAATTAATTTTCTAAACAATAAAATCACTGAACAATTAAATTACTAAACAATTGAACAAATGAAGTATTTTGTTTAATTAATTTAATTATTTTCCATAAATGAAAAAGTGTTTCAAATAAATAATTTTTCAAAACTGAAATTCGAGTTTATTCATTTTCCCAAAAAATTAAAGTTTTGTGAAAATTTTAAAATATTTTATATTTTTTAATAAAATAAATTATATTTTTTAAAACATTAAAAATTTTAAAAACCTTAAAACCTTGCTTGAAGAAGTAAGAATACTTTCATCTACGTAGAATAAAAAAATGTTGCAGTTTCTTGTTGCAGTCTCTTTCCCTTTTTGTTACTTCTTTAGTTTATCTAGGATTGATTGATTTTTGTAACTTGCTCTACCTTGATTTTCCTGATTATACACTATCCTTTTAGTGAAGCTTTTAACACTGCTGCTCGTCTAGTTGCTCGTGCTCATATCTTTTCTCATATATCATATATCTCTATATATTGGTCTCTTGCATTGACTACCTAAAGAATATAGAATAATTTAAAAAATTTGCACATTAATGTATAAGTCTCAATCTAAATTATATCCTTTTTACTTATCAGGTGTGTTAATTAAACCTTGTTTCAATTTTTAATGTGGATTTTGAGAAAATAATTATCTCACATGTTAAACACTGAATCCGCCGCCAGCGTTAACGTTGGCATCATACAATGACAAAAATACTTTAGGAGTGAGACTTCAAATGCCGATGATAATAACGAACATAATAATAATAATTAATTATTTTCAGGTGAACGACTCTGATGTGTATAATAGCAGTAATATTTTTAAATATCTCGCTGTGATTCAACATTAAAATACATACAAATACGTACAAATCTAAGCTCGAGCCAATCTCCTGATCTCTTAATTTAACCAATCGATCTACCATCTACATGCCCTCAATAAAATTTCGATCGTTTTTAATTATATGACCAAATTGAATCGTATAATTTTTATTTTGCGTTAATTTTTCACAAGTGTTAACAACCATGATAATGTTGTAAATGATGGGAATGAGCTAATAGATGATGAGGTCAACTACACTGATGATAACAACATATGTTGAATTAATGTTGAATAACAAATTTATTCAATGGCCATAACTAATTATTATTATTATTATGAGAAAAACATGGGCAAAGACAAAATATCCCTAGGCCCATGACACAAAATTAACCATAAAATTTTAACACATAAACAATGTACATGAATATATGTTAATATGTTCTGTTCATACATAAAGATCAAACAAAAAAAAATATAAACAAAAATATAAGAGAATAACTTCTATTATTAATTCAACTACCTATAATACTTTATATATATATATATATATATGTAGGCAAACATTTCTTCATAAAAATTCCAATTTCAACCAATATATCGTCCTCTCTTAAAGACAATCATGTCAAAACAAACATTTATAACATGATTTTTCATCAGTAGCGCTTGTGTGGGGTTTGATGAGGATATGAATGATGCTTAGCAGTGTCACTTCACAATTCTGATTGCAATACCGCCTTTGTAATAATTATAAGTATAATAAAAAATGTTATAATAATTCATTGTTAACAATAATAATAATAATTTTTTCAAACCTTTTTCGTTCGAAGGCAGTGCATTTATTGGAAGAATTCGAAATAAATTCACTTGAAAATTAGAAGCAACATTTGAGGATGTTCAAACTGAAAGATTGTATGAAAATGTACATGATAGACATAAACCACTGAAAAGGATAATGAATTGATTCAATTGCAACAGTATAATTCATCAAGGAACTTTAAATTTAACACAAAAATCTCAATACTTGGAGGGTTAACCGGATTCATCCACATATATGTTCAACTTTCCCGGCAGCTAATAAAACATTTCTGCTGAATATTTCAATATACCTAGCCATTAAGTGATGTTAATTTCAGAAATATTCTGATTAAAAAAAAGTGAATAAAGTTTTTCTAGTAAGTAAAATACGCAGTTGTGTGATTTTACTAAAATAAAGTGAATTATAGTTTTATCAAAAAAAATATCTCAAACGTTTAACCAATGGAATTTTTTGTCTATTAAGAGCAAATTATTGACAACCACAAACTATTTTAGGTAACATTGAATCGTTGTTCGTTGCTGACTCTGATATTGTAATGGTTCGCTATTAAGTTCTACTCAATTATCATGAAAATTTTGGAAAATTAACATTGTAAAATTAGAAAAAGAGTTCTTGAATAGAAATGAATTTATTTTCGCCTTTCTTTTACTATCATTCTCGAATTATTTCAGTCACAATCATCTTCTTCTCAGATTTACAGTTCATCATCATCATGTTCCCACCATCAGCACCATCTTATTCAAAATCGCTCGTCAACATGCTTTGACATTTTAATTTTATAAATATCTTTTCATATATTTATTTAATCCATGGGTGGTGGTGTGTCGTAAAACATGTACACAAGATGTTAATTACCCCTTAGCAGCGCATGTGCTAATCACCCTTTACGACTTTCAGATGTGCTTTTTCCACAACGCAAATGCTTAACATTTTTTTTTTTGCAAATTGTAAATAGACAACAGGTAGGCATGCAGTTGAATGATTTGCATCTATATTGATCGGTACACAAATTGATTGGTTTGAACCTTGGGGCATAAATTTTCAAATTAGGAACATCTGTTGGTGTCATACAAAATATTGCATAAAGATTGATTCGCCACGAGAATTCCACACATATTCATATGTATTGTTAAAATCATTCAGGTAGTTTGATATTTATTAAACAACTACATTATATTTGATTTTCAGCATCTGCATTTGAAATAATCTTTCCAAATGCATTTTCGTTACTGTGTGGCGACAATTTTAACAATTCTGACGATTCAGTGTCTTGCCCATAAGCTTTTTTCAGAATATGTATTGTAGAGTATTTTTAACGGTATCCCCTAGCTAAGTATTGAAAATGGATTTTATTTAAATATATATTTTAAAATTTTGAATCAACAGTTCAGTGCCCGGATCCCTTCACTAAGTATTTCTTGGAGAAAATACCCGATTTTGCGAAAAAGATGAACATTCCATTATTTTTTGAAAATCAGGTTTTCAGTTGAAAAAATTTTTTTAATTGACTCTTAATTTCATTTAAAATCACTTTAATGCTGCAATATATATTTACATTTTACATCAAATCTAACAAAACTAACATAACTCTTTTGAATGTCACGCAGACTCGATGCGACTACAGGAGAGAACGTCCAGAAGCTCACATCGTTGGCGTTAAAACAAGAGATGCGGCGGGAGAATTTATCTCATGGGTAAATTTTGTCAAAATAGAAATTAAATGTGTTTTCAACTTAGTCGATTTGTTGAGAAAATATTTTTAGTTTATCTCAGCCTCGTTTTGTGGCATAGATAGAAATTGTTTGTGAGGGTCTTTAATTTCAAGAAACTGCAGACCTTTTTTTGCTTAACGAGTAATTTTTGTCCAATTTTCCTAATCAATCCTACCAACCAGTGATTGATAGATCACTACTTTCTATTTTACGTCTGTGAGAGTGCTGAAAACGTTAACTTTGGCTGCACTTTTCCACGCTGGCTGCGCCTCTGATTTCATTGAAACATTTTTCAAACAGATTTCTGGGACTAAGCTCTCAGTTTATAACAAATTATTGTCAATAATTTGAACATTACTATTTTTAAATTTAACGAAGGTCTTTGTTCCTTCAAATATAAATATTTTTTGACCCAATGATCGCGGACTGACTACAGCACTCTATAGCAGCGGTGACATCGTAACATGATGCAAAAAGACAACACGCTAACAACGTCCACGAACGTATGTTTTAAATTTTTATATAAAAAAATTTCTGCATGGGTCATTTACGCGCGGTAGTTGGTCTTATGAATTGGAGGAAGAAGTTCCACCAGGTCCTCATCACAGATGCCCCCCAGATTCTCGGGATGTATTGATTTACAAAAGAAGATACCTTGTTTGTTGCATTAAAAGAATGGCGGACTAAACAATTGAAATACTGAACAATTGAATTACAAAACAATTAAATTACTAAACAATTAAATTACTAAACAATTGAATTATTAAAGAATTAAATTACTAAACAATTAAACAAATGACCAGTTTTTGTTTAATTAATTGATGAACATTGACCATAAATGAACAAATGAACATTTTTGTTTAAAAACTGCGTCACCAGTTAATTCATTTTCTGAGAGAAATAAAGTTTTGTCAAAAATAAAAAATTAATAAAAAATTAAAGTGATAAAACTTTTGCAGAAACAATTTTAATTGTTTTTCATTTACTTTATTTGTCTTTCATCCATTAGAAATGAATTACGTAACTACGATGTTATATATACATTATACAGTTTGCTACCGCTACGTGCAGCACATTTTGACATTAATTTAATTTGAATATGTTAAAATTGCATTTAAAATTATTTTTAAACCATGTTTTTTTTTATATAAATGTAGATTTATATTAATCTTATAACTTAATAAATATTTTCAAAGTTTTTGTTTTGAATAAAAATAACTATTAATATTATCATTACTTTAGAATTCTTCATCGTAAGTCACAATTTCTATGAGACGCAATCACCAACGCGTGTTAAAACAAGTTAACCGTTTACAAGTTGTTTCCCAATCTTTTCAAGCATTTTCCGCAGAATCGGCATTAACGTTGACATTTTTTTCCCTTGCAGTCACCTTTTATTTCTTCCCAATGTGAAAACTTAAACGAGGAATGCAGCGAGCCATGAAGCACGCAGCTGACCACAAGCACCTCCTCCAAGACGACAACAGCATTTTGAACTCTGCACGAAATTGTTTCCCAGAGGCACAGTAGAAAAAGAAATTTGACGAGTGATTTATTAGGGCCAGGAAATCCGTAATTGTGTAAGCCAATTTTAATCTGCGGTGGTTGTTGTATCAGGGTTTACAACTTTAATTCATAATAAAAAACAACATCGAATCTATATGTACCACAATTTACAGTTTTGTCTCGAAAACATTTTATGTTAATCAAGCATTTTCAGAGTAAAAATAATTTAACATTCAAATTGATTTTAAGTTATTATTGGAGGTTTTCCTCTCACTGTTGCTACAGACAAGACAACAAATAAGTTATGTCTCTATTAAACAACGTGAAACGTCTGAAAAATCAATCCAGATGATTTATTTAAGAAAACAAACAACTTAGTGTTTTTAGTGCAACAAATGCCAAGAATAGCAAATTTTAAGAATTCACTTATCTGTTGTTTAAATAATTTGAATAAGTACGCACTTCATTATTAGAGTATCAGATGATGACCTGTAAATCAAGTAGACACAATGCACGATGTAGAATGGTGTGGTTAAGAGGACGAAAGCAAATGAGACGGAGAGTAGCATGATCGCACAATTCGTTTCTTCATTTTCTCTTCTCAATTTTGAAAACTTTGTTTTCAAAATTGATGAGCGTTTTAAAACTTAGTTTGTAAGCATTGTAATGGTTGGTATTGTTAAAACATTTTGAATTACTTCTATTTAGTGTACAATAATAATATGAATGTTCATTTTACGTTTAGCCAAATGATTGCAGATTTTTTAAAAGTTCTTTAAATAACCAATTTAAAATTTCTTACCGAATCTCTACAAACATGTATGTTCTTTTGTTGCATTGTGATAGAATCTAGTTTGTTGTTGATGGTGGTTGTTGCTTGTGGGATTTTTTCAATTTTTATGCCTGGAAGTTGTCAAAAATAAAATTAGTTTTCAAGTGCACAACTAAGCATAAATGCTAAATGACTAAAACGGAACTGTTCAAGTTGTTTTTGTTCGACCAGATCCGACAATTTTAAACACTCTTTATAGTATTTTATACATCAAATCTATCAGATGGATCAAAATACGGTAGCAAAAAATTTATTTAAAATTGACATTGTTAAAAAATAATTCTATAGCAGCATCACAGTAAACGACAAATTCAATGAGCTAATTTTATTTTCTCTGAAACAACTTTAAAGTTAACTATAAATGCAATTTCGCCAAAGTCAGCACACGTAAAGTATTAGGTTTATAAAACCAGATTTGTAAATTTACCTGCCCCATGTGGAAAACTTTGAGTTCTGCATGCTAGAGGTGAAGCGGGAATTAAAGTTTGTTCTTAATTCGTTTCCATTTTTGTTTGTCATTCCCGATTTTCTTCCGATTTTCCATTTAAAACAACGTTCTATAAAATTTCCAAACCTTATTTTTTAACTCATTCCCGCGTTTTCTCTTCCGTTCCCTTCCATTCCCCTTTTTTTAATTTTGCAAATTTTTGAACATAAAAACCAATTTTTTTTCAAAAAAAGCAAAAATTATGAATACACCTTTAGTATCAAACAAAATAAAAATTTAAAAGCTCTAAAAATATTAGAATAACAATAATAAATTACAATTATAACATTTAAACCACTTTTATACAAATTTATGAATAAACATACTATGTGAATTTCTAATGACCACAAGTGTACATATGTGTGCGTGTATGGATGTGTCGACCACACGTTTGTATTGATATACTACTCGCTCGTCACCGTTCTACGACAATTAGTGAACGAACAACATAGGCCAGTTTGCTCTTGGGAAAATTTTCAGTTTTCGTTAACTTGCCAGCGCAAACGTTAAATAACTCGATATTTTTCAAGTACATAATATAATGAGAGATAACATTAATTACCGACTTAACGTGTGTTGAGTATTAGTGTTAGTGTTTAAAATGTTTTAAAGATTAATAACTGAAATCGAACGAGAAACGACTCACCCATTATTGTTATTATTATTTTATTGTTTTAATTGTAATTAATAGTATTTCCTATAACAAAAGAACAAAACTTAAACGAGGAATCAAGATGCATAAGATGCAAAAAATGATAATGCTTAAATGAGATAACTCTTAACCAAGGAAACTCTCAACTTTTAACTAAGATAACTTTCTCCACTTAACTTGTGTGCTAGCCTATTATATATCAATCAATTTTAATCAATCAATCAATTAGCTTGTAAAGCGCTATTTCTGCGATGTTCAACAGCGCTCCTCAATGAATTTGCAAACAGATGGGTCTTAAGATCCGCTCTGAACTTCGTAAGTGATGGAGAAGTAATCAGAGAAGTAATCAGAGAAGTAAGTAGAAAGTTCCAGAGAAAAGGGCCAGAATGTGTGCGTATGTGTATGCGATAAATATGTGTGAATATGGACAATGGACATATGTGTATACGAAAAAGTACGTACTTGGACATACATACATGTTTATAGATCAATCAATCAATTAATCAATCAATCAACCAATCAATCAATCAATCAATCAATCAATCAATCAATCAATCAGTCAGTCAGTCAGTTAGTCAGTCAGTCAGTCAAACAGTCAGTCAGCCAGCCAACCAGCCAGCCAGTCAGTCAGTCAAACAGTCAGTCAGTCAGCTAGCCAGCCAGCCAGCCAGCCAGCCAGCCAGTCAGTCAGTCAGTCAGTCAGTCAGTCAGTCAGTCAGTCAGTCAGTCAGTCAGTCAGTCAGTCAGTCAGTCAGTCAGTCAGTCAGTCAGTCAGTCAATCAATCAATCAATCAATCAATTAGTTTATGAAGCGCAACTTCCGCGATATTCAACAGCGCTCCTCAATGAATTTTTCAAATAGGTGGGTCTTGAGATTCGCTTTGAACTTCGTAGGTGATGGAAAAATGGTCAGAGGAGGAAGCAGAGAGTTTCAGAAAGAAGGGCCAGAAAAAGCAAAAGCAGATTTGGCAAAAGATTGTTTAACACGAGTTAAGAAAAGCGAGAACAAGAAGACGGCCGTAAACCGGGGCGTTTAGGTTCAATTAATATATCTGATAAGTACTTAGGAAATATGCCAGGAGACCTTGCTCCCTAGAATTTAACTAGTTGTCTAACTCCTTCTAACTAGTCAGTTCTTATTGTATGTCACCTAATTTTTATTATAGATAGTATTATATGCTCTGATTAATTAGACGTTGCATTAAGCTGCTTTTTGCTGTCTCGTCTCAAACTACTTTTGTAACTTAGCTATTAAATTTTTGAATGGAAAACATTTAATTAGCAATTGTACAAATTGATTTGACACATTTTAAAAATAATTTAAAAAAAAATTTAGGTGTTGTTTTTAAGAATTTATCGAGTTTCTTAAAAAATTTGTGTAACAAACAGACGATTAGTAAACCCAACAAAAACTTCAAAATTATATTCCACTTACTGTTGTTTGAAACTTCTTCAAATTCCTCTTTTGTAACACTGCATTTTGCAGATAGTGTCTGTTGGCGTTGGCCAATCATCAAACACCTCTTCTTCTTGGCAACTACAATGTCTTTGATGATGAGAGAGTTGAGGACGATTATTAGTATAGACGGAAGGAATGAATAAAATGTTCCGTCAATCCAAATAAAATTTTCAAAAATGAAAGTTCTGTATTTATCGTCTATTTCACATGAAGTTGTTTTAATTGGCGGGCATAGCTTGACACCTTCCAATGTCAATTCATACATTTTAGATTTCTGATCATAAAAGTCCTGAAAGATGTAGTGTTTTTGAACTTAAAAATTGATAAATTAATTCAAAAGAATTATTATATATTATACATTTTTTGAAGTGTGATCAAATTCAATCAAAACTTAAGAAATAAATTTTTAATTAATTTAGGTAAACATTTGTCACAAATGCTTTATGACAACTAAATAATAATTTATATCAACCATTGCGCTGTTTTTATTATAGGAAGACATGGCTAAATAATGTTTTGATAAAAAAATCATATTATATCAAAATCAACATACGATCAGTTTTGTAGTCCACAGGTCATAAATATTCAAAGCAGAAAAAAATACCAGCAACGCCGCAATCACCTGAAAAGTAAGTACAAAATTAAGAGTAATTTTTGACGATTATTTTTTTTTTAGAAGTATTTCCAAACATCATATCGTCCAACCCTGGCATGGCAACCTTAATTTTTCAATTTTTCATTTTTTGTATCTTTCGGGCTCGTTTGAATAAACGGATGTAGTGTCCCGAAAGATATAAATTCAAGACCACCCATCTGTAGGGGGTAGAAGAATGCACCGGGCTACTAAAATAAGAGGAGCTACGAAATACAAGAACCGGAAAGGTTGTGGAGCCACAAAAAAGGAAAAATTTTGAAAAGTAGCGCAATGAACAAAAAATTGTCACAAACTCTTCAAACCATAGAAAAAATTATAAAAATTAATATTAATAATAAATCAATAACATCAAGATCGCCAGTTTTTTCTTTGTCCAACTTACCTTTAGAGCATTCCCTTTGCGGCACATAGCGACAGCTTTTAACGGAAAACAAACTGCGATGAATCTTTCCACAGTTACAGCCACTATCAACCAAACTGAAAAATTACTCAAAAAGCCAGCTAAAAAATACCTTCCAATGCATGTAAAAATTGATACATTTTCAAACACAAAGCCAAAATTTTCTATCCAAGGTATCATGTAAGCAAAAGTTAGCACGAGTGCATCAACCACGGTCAACGCCGACAAATAAGTGGAGGATGAATTTTTTCTCATTTTTTTCCCAAGAAGAACAAACAGTGATAGCAAGTTTCCTATGACACCGCTAAAAAAAATAATCGGAAAAATATAAACAGAAATGAATTTGTCTACATGTTTCTCAGACAGGTATCCGTCGGTTCGATTGTTGGAAGATTTGTTGCTGTGAGCCTGTGTTGATCAAAATGTATATATACAGAAAATTTATGTTCACATATTTGATATTATAATTCATAAGAACAAATTTCATGTTCACTCACATTAACATCTTTCGTAATTTGTGATCCTCTGATATTAGTTGTTTCGTTTTTTGTGTCGTTATTAGGATGAAATCTAAATTTGTTTAAATATTCAATCTCTTCAATTTTATATCTTAACACCTGAAGAACTAACTGTTGGAATGTTTTGTTGGCTGGGTTTTCACAAGAATCGGTAAGAACGCTTGCAGATTGTAGGTTAAGTAACGTCTTCACATCTGAATAGTTTTTAAAAATTTTGAAAATATATTTGATGGTGGGCGACAGTAGCTCCAAACGCTCCGAAAAATTCATTATAAAATTGATCAGTTTTTTTGATTGATGTTGAAATGTGACTTTTTTTAATTTCTCCTATGCTTGATGCTTCAATAGGATAAAATCTTTTCCAAAGAATTTTTCACCTCATGTCTGTGACAGTTGAACGTAGAAGCAGTTCGTCCTTGTTTATAAATGAAACATGTTCTCCCAGTGTTTCCACCCTTTGTAATTTAAATTTAAAGAAAACTAATTTTTCGTCCGGCCAACGTAGGAACAACAACTAAAATTGTTTATGTGATGAAGAGCTTGGTGATTAAAATTTAATTAAAAATAACATTTTCAGAGCACATAACACTTAATTTTGTGAGTTTATTTTGATACTTTTTTTGACATAATTTTTAAAATTTGTTTTAAAACTACACAAAAATGTTTTGTTCTAACATTGCAACTGTTATTCAAAACTGTCCTTTAAGTTACTTTTTGAACTTTTTGCGAATTTTTTTTTGCGAAACATTTGCGAATTCTGTACTGCTACTATTACATTTTATATACTGAAGTCGAGCTTATTCAAATATTAGGAGACATGGTCAGCATTATTCATTTGAAAATATATTTTAACAAAAAAAAATATATTTTTAGTGTTTAGTAATGTTTAAAAGTTGTATTTTCAAATTCTTGCTCCAAATAATAATGCAGCAATTTAGATAAGGGTACCTGAAAGTGTACCTAATAGAAAGTTTAAATAATTTTTCTATAAAAAATAGTTCACTTTGTTTAACAGACCCAACAATTTGCTAATCACGTTAGGCTAATAAATAATTTAGTCTTTCCAGTTGAGGTTTAGAACTATGGCGCCAACATTTTGTGAAAGAATTTCCTTGTTTAGGCTGTTTGTAATAATCCAAAACTTAAAAGCTTCGGGACAGGTTTAGGATGCGTTTATTATTTTCAAACGGCTGTATTCCGCACAGGAGAGTAATTTTTCAGCTTTCTATTTACTAATAAATTTTAATCAATCATTCAAACTTTTACTTCTAGCACTGCTATGTGTTGTCTGGGTGAGGAAAGAATACATTTTAAGGAAGTGGATAAAAAGTCCAAATCCTCAATTTAAAAAATTACTATTATATACTCAGGTCGAGCCTTGATGCAGACCAGAAGTGATACAAACTGCAGAAAGTCATGACAACCAACAAAAACATTGACGTCTGCTCTAAAGATAAGTGCGACACAATCTCAAAATCAACCGCCAAACTCTTTTTCTTATATTTCTCTACCTAGTTTAATACTTTTGTGCACTCTATATTTTAGTTTTTTTGAAGATATAAAAGATAGAAATTGAAAAGAAAATTTAGTTTTTACATACATTTTTTTTAAAAGGGTAATAAAAAATGAAAGTTTCAAATTTAAATTCAAAATAAATAGCCAAACAATATTTAAATTATGCATATATAATCATTTTAAAAGTTGTTGGAAATTTCCAAATTAATAGGCTGAAGATAATTGCAGCCAATGTTATCATAGTCCTTGATGGCATAATTTAGCTGACGAGAAAATAAAAGAATAGAAAAAAATAGCAATGAGAAATTTGTCTTAAAACATCGCAAGATCATATCGTCATTCAATTTTATTAAAATGTATTTAAAAAATTTTAAATTGTACGTAAAAATTGTCACGTAGGGAAACGTTTGTTTCAAACAATTACCAAACAAATGACACCACATGCATTTTTTAACTCGTCAACATATTCCTGACAATGTTTTGAAAGTTTTACTTGTCAGATTGCTCAAAGGTACATACAAAGCTACAGGCTAATGATCTAGGAAACAATTTTAATCGAAATGTTTTTTGTGTACTACATAAGCAGAGGCTCAACAACTGTACGATCATACATTGAAACGTTTCTGTACGGCAGTTTTGTATTGTATATAACATACATGTGTGTGTGTAGATAAAAAACTTATATGAGTTTCAAGTCTGATTTGTTATATTAAAAAGTAATTTCTGTTGTCTACTAATTCTGCAAGTGACAAGGTCAGTCTTTTTAGTGAAACTTATAATAAAATTTTATATGAAATTTTGTTAAAAGATGATGATATATTTTCAGGTTGTTTTATTTTAAAACATAATTTTAATTTTCAAATATATACAAGCGATATTCATTTTAATTCACCAACTGTGTTTTAAGTTATTAATATATGAATCAATTAACAGAAGTGACAAAAAGTCTGAATTTGAACAACTGTTTGGTAATTATATTGAAGCTTATGGACTTCCAGAAATGACAAATAACATAAATCACGTCAATGCTAAAAAAGCTAGTTAATAAATAAACAATGAGTTTATAATGACGGTAATGAACACAAAATAACACAGACACATTCACACGCACATACACACTATACACACACACACAAACACACACACACCTTACAAACCTGTGTCATCAAAAAATGATGAATAATATGAAAAACTTATGGAATAATAGATATATTTTTAACAATATTTTCAAGCTTTTTAATGTTATGTATAAATTTTAGTAAAAATTATTTTAATGTCCAATAATATTATTATTTTTTTGTTTAATTATTTTACGAAATTTTACAAAATTGACGCTTTTGCTTGAAGTTCGATCAAACAATGACATTTCCTGAGAAAAAAATAAAAAAATTAAATAAGATTAGTAAATTTTTTGTTTTTGTTTGAATAACTTGGCCTAATTTTAAAAATTTATGAGAATTCAATATGTCTCCTGTTTAAAGTTTATTGCATAATTTTTCATCGTAACTAAATTAATTATTTTGTTCTCTTTAATTTTGTTTCAGGGGAGGTGTTTTTTAAATAACGTTTTTCTGAAAAATGTTTATTTAAATTGAATTTATTTATTGTAAAAACAACATAAAGTATGTTGATGCTAAGCAGAAGTCATACGTCTTCTATTTACAAAAATTAAAACAAAAAAGTTAATTCATTTCTTTTTCATTACATTATTATTTTTTTATTTAAATATAAAAATTGATTTCAACGATTAATCAGATTATTGAACTTATCGTTGAACAAACGCTGGTGGGACGAGACGGATGTCTTATAGTCCTGAAGGGAGTTGGAACGACTCCGAAGAAATTGGACGTGTTCTGGAGGTTTCTCAATGATCAATTGACAAAAATACTTGAAAGGTTGCTGTTGATGTATTTTCTTAATTTTTTTTAAATCAAACGATAATTTTTCTAAAAATATTAGTTCAATAACTTTGAGCATATTTGACATTAAAGTATTAAAACCATAATCAGGTATGAAAGAATAATTATTATGATTGATGATAAATTAACAGGAATTGTTTTTTTTTTTTTTTTTTTTTTCAATTTAGTTAATTTAATACTTTTCTACAAGAATGCACTAAAGCCTATTAGAATGCCTAACATTTCCCTGTTGACCTAACCACTGGGCTTCCTATTTAATTTTTAATTAATTTATAACTCTACTTTTGGGGGAGGGCTAGGATTTTAAAAAAAAAAAATTTACAACCTTTTTTTTTAAACCTCCTTTCACGCCTGATTTACATTTCGAAACTTTTACATTTACATTTCCCTTCAAATTTGCCAAAAAATGCCGTTTTTTAAGGAGCTGGAACCATTTTAAACCAAAATTTACAAAGTTTACATTTTTTAAATTCAATTTTTACCCTAACAAAACTATCTTTTAATACGCTATGCCCCTTCAACAATAAATAATTTATAACATCAGTTACATTTGATCGATAAATTTTTAATTTAAAAGACTCAGCGGGGATTCAACTCAGTTGTATCCCATCATAATGAACGCTTTTTCTTACTTCTCAAATCAAACAGAATACAATGAGGTTGGTTACTTAATATACTCTAAAAATTTTTCATTTTTTAAATAATTTCTTTATCGGAGTAGGACAATTGGAAATTGAATTATATAAATTTGTGATAATAAAAAAGTTGCATTGAGGCTGAAAACTCGTATAGGGTCATACAGAAATATATTAAATAATTTAAAAAATTTGAATTTAAATAATTTATAAAAATTTAAATAATTTAAAAAAATTATTGTTTTTGATGCCAAATTTATGCGGTTGAATAAGGTGATGGAAATATTGACATTAATAGCTACGAGTACGTCATTCCTTTGTTGTGAAATGCAGCTGAAATCCTTCCTAAAGGATCTTCTGGCCGTCAACAGTTCAACCAGTTCCAATAGGGTAAATTATATTTTGACGACCATTCGCATGAAAATCGAACGGGAGAACGGTATGATAAGCAACTTGTTCAAAGGCTCTCAAAACAGTAAAAAGTATTTTTACTTTTTCTATATTTTTATTTTATATATTGAAATTGTAGTAATTTAAAATTTTTATTTTATTATATTTGATATTATTCCATTCATTGTATATTTTTGTTATTTTGCTATAACTAAGAGGCAATAATGATTTATGAATAATCGTCGGATTTGGATTTTTAATTGAAAAATTTGTAGAAAGTATTTTTAATTATCCTCTAATGAAATACCTTTTTAAAGAAACTCATGAAAAACACAAAGAAATTAAAGAAAATTCAAGTTTAAAGCCCATTCACTAAAGTTCAAATTTTAAACTTTGTTTTGTGAAATTTGTAAGAGAATTAAACTGATTAAACAAACATATGACACTATACGTTTGTTTAAATTCTAAATAGTAATTCCTTTAAAAAGGTCCATTGTCTTCTAAAAAGCCTTTCATAAAAATTGAATAAAATAATAGAAATTCATTAAAAGTCATGACGAAACATTATCAACTTTCATAAATTCGAATCTAATACCTATTGAAAGTGGTTTTACTCATCTGACGAATGAATGATGCTCATAACTTTTATTGTTTTGAAAGCCAACGAGCGACTCGATCTTCAAAGTCAGCCATCAAGTCGATGTTCATTCGGACAGTTGCCAAATAATTTTCTTTCGTCGTTGAATCACTGTTGTTACCTACTTGGTTGTCCAGAAAGGCTTTCAACTGCAGTGTTTAATATCGTTAGAATGAATGAATGTAAAAAAAATTTATTGAAAAAATTAACAAAAAGTTAATTAATAATGATATATCAGTTATTATTTTGAATTATTTTTTCATTAAAATCACTGCATTCGCGGTTTTGTCATTTTATCGCTCTATTGAAAAGCCTAAATTAGTCTGTATTTAAGCAGTGAAGCACTAACTTCATTGTAATCTTCTTCAGTTGAGAAATATGATGAGGCTTGTTTTATGATGAAGTTTAATAGTTTCGAGTCAGATAATCTTTGGAAAAAATGATTTATTGATAATAACATGTGAAGTAAACCAAAAAATTAAATATTATTGTTAGCATTTTTTCTACAAAACTTCAACAACATTTTAGTTAATGGGAAAAAAATGACCAAAAAAACTTCGGTGGCTTATATTATACATGATACAAATAATTATTAGATGAAAGGCTCGTATTTTATTTTTCATTAATTGAAGTAGTACAAAAATTCAAAATTAGGTTGCAACTTTGAAACTGTGCCTCTAACACAGTAACATTTGGATTTGGAAATCTGTTTTTTTTTGGGAAATAAATGTTAAGTTATGCAATTTGTAAGTGTATGGTTCTAATAGAGCGCTGCGTTTGCAATCGTTGGATTTGAAAAATCTGTCCCTAACCCTAAAATAAGAATCGGTTTTTCCTTCGATAATGATACAAAAAAGATAGACAGGTATCTTGTTTATAAAAATATCTTTACAAACACGAATCCCCGTAAACATGTCCAGATGTCGCTGGACATAGTAAAACACATCCTTCCCTACCTGGATGCGAACTGCAACATAGAGAACATTAAAAGGGACCCAGAGGCACTGATTAAATCATTCACGAAACGACAAACGTACAACAACAAAAAAACACAGTGCTAACGCGTCAACAAGAGGAGCGTAATGCAATCAACGTCCTGATATATCACAATATGAAATAACAGCACACTAAATGAATGCCCTAGAGAAAGGCCTGGACTTCGTAACTACACCCAGAAGATTAAGAGTGACAGAAGTAACAGATGGTATCAATAAATTAATAAGGGATATCAAAATTAATGATTTTTTTAATAATAATAAAGATATTCAAAAAAAACACAATACCATACCTACCGGATTACGGAAGTACTTCAAATCGAATTGGAATCCACCACAGAATAAATTGTCGAATAACTGCAAAGCAGCCACCGAAGAGATAAATAAATTGATACAAAACTTCGCATCCAAAAACAATAACGATGTCATAAAAACAAATATGTTGAAATCAAACATCCACCTGTAGAGATGAAAGCATTACTTAAATTAAAAAATAATGAAGCAAGGGAGTGTATTCGTAATAATGCAGAAGATTAACTACATCGAAAAGGCAGAAAGAAATTCTACAAGAAAATATTAGAACCAATTGACAATGGACAAGACATAATAGATCTACTATCAAAATATAAGCAATCAAAATAATAAACAAAAAATATTCTCCGCCCTTACACCCCCTAGCAAACCCAGGACGAGATATTTTCACACATTGCCAAAAACACACAAAGATAAAGAGGATTGGTTTGACGAATGCACCCCCAAAGGAAGACCCATTGTCAGTGACATCGGTTCAATAAACCAACCACTGTCAACCTTTGTGGAAGGGCAACTAAAACAAATGCTTGAACGTTCGTGAAAAAAATATCTACGACCTTCATTAACAATCAACAGATATTAGTGACAGCCGACGTATCTAGTCTATACAAGAACATGAATAATAACAGATGGATAGAAGTGACCAAACATGCCCTTAATAAATACATGCCAGACAACAAATTAACGATCGAAGCTTTGGAACATACTCTGCACAACAACGATTTTGCCTTCAACAATCAACACTGTTTGCAGATCAACTGATGCGCCATGGGTAAAATCTACTCCCCCACATTGGGGGAGTAGATTTTACCCATGGCGCACACTCCCTATATCTAAACCATCTCAAAGAAACCATCAACAAAAAGTTCTACGGGGTTGTTAATTACAACAGATATATCGACGATATTTTTTTCGCATTCAACGGATCCGACGACGAACTGAAGAAATTATTAGAGAGAACCAATAGGGAATTAAATTAAATTTTCAGCACGATAAAAACAACATCGAATTTTTAGATGTTACCGTATACAAAAATATGAACACATTCCCATTCCTACTCACCAAACCCCACTTTAAAAAGACGAACACGTTTAATCTCCTACACCACCACTCTTTCCACCCACCACACATTTTCAGGTCGATCGTCCAATCACGATTCATCAGATACGCCGGTATCTCATCTGAATTTTATTTTTTAAGGAAGCAAGCTTCAAGTTGATGAATAAACTCAATAGAAGGGGATACAAAATACAAAAGATAAAAAAGCAATTCAAAATAATTTGCGATAGGTTCGATGAACTCAAACCAATCAACCAAAATCTTACAAACAACAATAAAAATAAATGTATAAAAAAATTCATTCTGGTACGACCCTTCTGCCCAACCACCAGAAAGATCTATGAAAAGATAATACTTATAATGATTAAAAACAATATCCTTGGAAATGATGAAGAAACAATGAACGCTTACAAAATACAAAAGAACCTTAGTAGATTTCTATTTAGACATTAAAGGGCACACGAAGTTAAATAATCATTTAGAATTGAAGAATTTTATAATTATTTTTTATAATTATGAGATACAAACATCGCTTACTTGTTAAGAATTGTTTCCCAATTTTTGTTGAAAAATTTCCAGAATATTTCTTTATTATTTAGCTTTGAGCCAACTTTACTCAAGATTTGGTAACAATAATATTTGTTCAACGTTGTTTCATTTAACGACAAATTCATCAATCTGGTTGATTGCAAAAAATTATTCTGATAAATATTAAAACAATTTTTTTTAGATTATTTTTTTGGTAATATAAATTAGAAAAAGTGAATAAAACTAAATATGCAACTGGCAATGTTTAAAACCCGACCGGATTGCTTGGCCGGCGCTTGATCCAGATGTATATAAAATATGCACTATTCACATTTCTGGCTTTTTTTTAGCTATTTCGCTACGTGGATTGCATTCCAGTTTGCGGTTTTGTCAAATGGTTTTATATTTTTGCTGTTTTTAATTATCATGTCAGACAAATATTTTTTTCTGCTATTTAATTACCTCTGTTACTAGCAATACTAATTAACGATTATTAGTTTCTCCTTCCCCTAAATGTCATCCAACAAAGACTTACTTCAAAATTTTAGTCAAGTTTTGACTGTTGGAAAGATCATTTATTGCATTAACTTTCTGAAAGCCCGTTGTGTCATTAGCCGAGACTATGCTCATAAAATAGTTCCATTCATATTCGCCTCCATATTTCACTGCGTTGCCGTGTAGGAGTCGCGTTGCGTCAAAAGATAGGCTTAATCTAAAAAATAAAAATTAAAAATTGTTTAAAACATGATCAAAGTTGAATAAGAGTTGGTGGTTTTATGACGTCTTGAATGCTAAACTAACTTTGTTATCTCGACTCAAAAAAACTGGCTTACTTCAATGATCTATTGTTGGCTTGCTTTGACAACTCCTTTATCCAGTCAATGAACTCATGCATACTCAAATTGCACGCCAGATCTGTCATTAATATCCTTAACGATCTATAAAGAAACATCATTCAAATTTGAAAATCCTTTTTTCTAACAGTGATTTTTTGGAAACAAATTGAAATGTTTACAGCTTTTTAAAAAAGTGTTGTTTACAGATGGCAGAAAAAGTACAAATAGAGAAAATCTATCTTTTGGTACCAACATTGTTTCAGAATCTCCCTCTAATGTGATACCAAGTTTGGTCAAAAGAGGTGTTATCAATGTTTTAATCGCACCCTGAAATGTCCAAATTGTATAACTACATGTAAAAATGTACATCCGCTATTACAGTTTAATGATGTTTTTTAATGCTAATTTTTTCTTTGATTAATAAAAAAATATTATTTAAATTTTTCTATTGGCTGGTTATAAATAATTAATAAGACACATTTATGCGGAGTTATTCATTATAATAGGTCAATTAATAGATTTTCAATTAGGTGGTTTAGAAGTTTATGCTACCATTAAATGCGGTAGAAAATATATTGATGGCTGATTGGTGTCTAATTAACAAATTTTTACTTGAACACCAGCAGATTTAGTTTTGTTTCCTGTAGAAACTATCTTTCAATGTTTTAATTTTAATTGATTCACGCTTACAATATTCAGGTCCGTAATTATTGAATAACCATTTTTATTTAACAAAGTATTCGTTGCAAACCTTGAATGAAGTCTTATTTGAATTGGTGGACATTTGGTCTATGAGCCAATAATTCTCCAAAAAGATGTTCCAAGGTTCTTTTTTTTCTTCCTTAGCCAAATAGGACGCAAGACTGAGAGCCTCTGCCAGAGTAACTTTCTTTGTTCTGAAGCGTTCGAATTTGTTCTGATTATAGTCACATTCGTATAATAGTATAAAAAATTACAAATGTTTTTCAATGTGGATGCCCTTAATTGCATTTAAACTCATTTTTGTTTAAATGTTCTAAAACTCGACAAAATTTTCTTAATTATTAAAGATTGTTCTAATTTTGATAAAGTAAAAAATGCTGTAACGTTTTGAAAATAAACCATAGATAGAAACTAAAGCGGATATTGCTACGATTATGAATTACATGAAACTTTTTTCAAATGATAATATTAATAATTAGCGCCATTTCATTCAAACACCGACTGTGCTCGCAGATGTGAATTTCAATCATTCCATCAATAAGCATGTGCATTGTATATGCATTATGCATCCCATAGAGTAGCATTTACTGTACGTATGAATCAGAATGAGAGTATAAAAATTAGCAATGTTCTTTATGTAAAAAAATTGTTTAAGATATGAGCTTTTAAAATTAAATTAATAAGATTAATTAAATTAATTCATATTAGCGCTACTTGAACAATTCAAACACGTCAGTCATCAAGTTGATTCTATCTTTTACAGAAAAAACCTGTAATAGAATATGAAATATTTAATTGTTTATTTGTTTACAACAGCATTATTAATGATTTGTTGCAAAACATTTGGAATATAATTATTTATTTGTGCAAAAATGTGAAATTAGATTTGATATTTTATTCCGTGTGAAATCCATCTGGAAAGTTTGACGCCATTGGCCTCAACTGTCTTCCAAGAAATTTAATTCATAGATTTATAAAAAAAATTTTGTAATGACAATACATAACGCACAGTATGGTCGTTTTTGAGCTGATGTATGATTTCTGACCAGCCATTTTCATCGTAGTTCACTCTGTTAAAACCTGAATTTTTTTATGTTGGCATGTAGTTTTTTTTCTGTCTTTTCTGCCTTTATTTTATGACTCTAATGAGCTCGCGGTCCTATTGCTCAGTAAACAACACTTGCACCATTTTAAATAAAGTTCCAAAATTTACTATCAACAATCGAAATTGCAACTAAATCTTATCTCACCGTTCATTTCAAAATTCACTTTGATCCAACCAACATCTTCTGGCAGTTCAAATTGCACTGAATAGTGGATAGATTAATTTATAATGCAATTTGTTAACAATTTTAAAATGAAATTCATAACGTCATTCATTAGCATTTAAAATCAGCATTGAAATGTCAGACTTTCTAAATTTCCACATAAACTTAGTAACTAATATTAATCTGATCCAATAGTAACTAGTCTTTTTATTCTTTTATGAACTCCTAACAAATTGAGAAAATAATATAATTTGTAATAACTTGGTAAGATCATTAACCGCAAATAAAATTTATGAGAGAACAATAAGTTATTGATAAAATTTCAAAGTTAAATCGTCAGATAATTTCATGTCTGAATTAATGGAGTGACGAAATTTTTATTGGCGTGAAAGTTTCCACGAAATCACACTAGTACATCAAGAAGGAAGTATGTGCTGACTCCAAGTCATCATCATTGAAAGCAAGGTCTCACCTTTTTTCAACTCGTCATTGCAATCATTAACGGATTGAAGCACCTCTAAATCTGGTCTGATGAGGGTGTTATCAAAAAATCCGTTCATTGGAACAACAGGTTTCACCCGCACTAATTCTGATGTTGAAATACTGACATCCATTGGTCTTTCAACTCTGGTTACTTCTATATCCAGGTTTTTATCCAATACATTCAGAGTATTGGAATCTTTGTTAGTTTGTCTAGATATATTTTCTACCACTTTCAAATTTGCAGACAATCCCATTCTTAGTAAAAGTAGTCGAAAGTTCTTCAAATCATCTGTTTCAATTGGATCGTCAAATATTTTTGAGCCATTCCTTTCTTTGCCAACAATGTTGTTGAAGTCATCGTAGGTGCCCGTTGATATTTATATATACCATCCAGTTTTAAATCATTAATTGATTTATCGGAAGCTGGAGATTGCAAGGATTGAAAATCTCCACCTTGTGGTGTTTCAACGTGAATTTTTTTCAATATCGAGTCTGTTCATTTGTAAGATTTTGTTGGTATGTTTCAAGGTCTATATTAACGGCAGACGTTTTGGTGTTAAAGTACTGTTTAAAGTTTATTTAAAATTTTTCCTGAAGTATAAACAATTTTATATCCAAAAATCAAGATTTTCTATTTCGCTTATATACTCTGTAATCCAATCTATACCTTCGTTAAGTCAGAGTCGTGGAGGAGACAATATTTTGATTCTGATTATAAGAGCAATAATCAGATAAAACAATGAAGAAATGTGTCGAAAGCTTACCAAAAGTGTATCTGTGTTCATCAAAGTTGTTCACTGGTGTTAGGTTTCTTAATTGGCTGGTCATCTTCTTTGGTCTCCTTTTCTTCATCGATAGCATCATATTCTTCTTTGTCACTATTTACGATGCTAGTTTTTATTACTTCTTTGTTTTCGTTGTTGGTTAAGTGAGGTTGTCATTTTTTGTTGTATATTTATTTTTGGTTTATTGATGTCAATTAAGACTGCTTCTGCAATTTTAAGATGCGTGTAGTTGCTGTTCTGGTATATTACTTTGGTGTTGCTGTCGAGGATTTCACGGTTAATTGTGATTGAGTGTGTTGAGTCCAAATGAGATTTGATAGCACCACTCTGTTTATGCATCGTAAGCCTTCTAGTCAGTGAGATAGTAGTAATCCCGATATATGAGTCATGTTGACCAACATCAAAGATGAACCATCGACCTCCACAAAACCCGATCTTTAACATTTAATTTTAGTTGAAAAGAGGTGATATTCAACAAGTGACACAAGGACTTTCCGAATGTAATTTGTCGTTAACCGATTTCCTTTTACTGATAACCACGCTAATGGTACAAATCCCATATTGTTACTCTTGTTGAAATGTTCACGCATCTTAAAAATTCATTCTTGTTGTCTGGTAAAATAATTCTGTCAAGTCGTGAATGTGGCCTTATACAAATAGCCTACAAATGAGAATCGTAATTAAATGCAATTGAGAGTTGTCAGAAATTAAGAATAATTAACTGAATGCTAACGAGAATCATTGGAAGTCAGTAAGTATGGTTCTCGCGTTAACCATAGAATGTTAAATAATTGAAAATGAAAAACTTATATTGTTAAAAAATGTTCAATGATGATAAAATAATAAATAATTAAATAATTAAACTTTACCAAAACTAAATAAATATTGAAGGCTACGCACCATGTGGATTTGATGAGTAATATTTGCAAAAAGTGATACGATTTTTAGTGTTTATTTTTTTTAGGGAATTTTTTGCTAGAAACCTTTCAAAAATGTACCTTACTTTTTAAAACAAAATGCAAAACAACATTGTAAACATTGTTTCAACGTAAACGAAAAAGTAAAAAAACTAACGAAGAATCTTTTTTATTTGTGAAAAATGAAAATATTCTGAATAACTCCGATTTAATAAGTTGATTCAATAATTTTTGAATTTCAATTATAATATTAAGAAGCGCTCAGTTCCAATGCGTTGACGAGGAGTTAAAAATCCATTTTAATATCATCAAGGTTACGCTGTACAATCTATAAAATTCTCGTTGTTTATATAACGAAAAGTGAGAATAATAACAACAAAAAATGGACTGTGCACCCTGAACTAATGAAAGTTGTAGGATTTTAACCAAACTATTTATCGATGCACGATATATATCATTACAGGATATATATCTATACAAGTATCTACTAAAATAGATTGATATGTAAGATTGGCATTATTTAAAAAGAAATTGTAAACAATTTTAAAAGAAAACAGTCAAACAAGTTTTGTGGCAATGCACCCATTCGATTTAAAATATAGAGCGGTTGCTGCATTGGCTTGCTTTAATTACGTTGTCCTTTGGATCACTGCAGCTGCCCAAGACGATAATACGTTGATAAACAAGACTCGCTGGAATAATTTGAGACTCCCTAGAACTTTGGTGACTCAACTTTACGAACAGTCATCCATCCCGACTTGAAAAAGTTAGATTTCCGTGGTTGGTCCTGCGTGGAGGTGTTGGTGAACGACAGCACTGATTACATCGTCATGCAGTTAAACAACTCATCCTCGGCTATATCGAAGTGCGCTTCAAAGATCGAAATGGTTAGTGGACATTTTTTATTACAGAGAGAGTGCAAATATATTTATTGTTATTCAAACATGTTTTTGTCATATTATTCATGTTGGCAGTACATGCACATAGTGGGAAAGTTTAAATCTAAAATAATATAATAAAAAATTTATTATAATAAAAATAGGTAAATGTTATGTATGTATATATTATATTTATAAATTTATATATATCAATCATTGGTTGCTATCCCTGAAATCCTTGGCGCATGTCACAGTGGTGATTGTCTTCCTGTGTGTTTCACAGACAAAACGTTTACATTCTCCACAGACTGTGTTAACTTTTTTGTCTTTGTTTCTGGGACAGTACAAACATCTTCCCCTTTTGATCTGCTGCTGCCTTGATGCTGATGGCATATTTTTGGTTGTAGTGTTGCGTGCTACAACTACTCCTGCAGCTTCAATTGCTTTGACAACTGAAAGGTGGAAACCATTTAGATTGGTTGCCCTACGTAGAATGTTGGGTTTGGTCAGTTCTTTGCCTAATTCTAACAAAAATTGATATCTAATATTCTTCATATGTCTATTCCAGTCATTGCTTTTCGACATCCAAATTATGAAGGCATTCAGGGCACCAATATCGAGCATATTCATGAAAAGTCTTAGAGGCCATCTTGAGGTTCGTCTAGCACAAGAATATTCTCTAATCAATTTATCTGCATTATCCACTCCACCCTTGGTATTATTGTATTCCAGTATCATGTTGGGCTTCCTGTGACTTTCAGAGGATACTGAATTATCTAGAAATTGAGTTGAAAGTAAACGGACTGTTTTGTTTTTCTTTGGAACATAGCTGACTACTGCTACCCCGTTAGAAAATATAAATTTTGATGAAAGTATGTCTCGTCCTCTTGCATTTTCTATAACTGCAGGAATATCAGTTTTTTTAGCTCTCAATGTTCCTGTCATGGTGATGCTTTTTTGCAACAAAAATTCTGCAGTCTTCACGGATGTAAAAATATTGTCTGTAGTGACACCTCTTTCAGATCCAAACAGTGGTTCCACCAAGTCACATACTACGCGGTGTCCTAAATTTTTCTCTGGTGCATTTCCTGGAAGCTTTCCAGTGTAGACTTGTAAGTTGTACAAATATGAAGTCTTCACATCTGCGGCCACCCATATTTTTATTCCATATTTTGCTGGTTTTGATTTCATGTACTGCCTCATCGGACATTTGCCTTGAAATGCTACAAGCTGCTCGTCTATTGTGATGTTTTCAAATGGCGTAAAAAGCGTTTGGCAATTTATTACAAACCAATCCCAAACTTCACGAATAGCTGCAAGTTTATCAGTTGTTCTCCTTTGAGCACGTGTTAATTTGTCGTCAAACCTGATAAATTGAAGGATAAGTGCAAATCTGTTTCGTGCCATGGCAGCAGTAAAAACAGCACGACGAATATTTTCATCTGTCGTCCACATTTCAGAAATATTTTCCTTTCTATTTTCATAAGGCAGCAAAATGCTTATGCTATTTAAAACATTTCGATTTGGTTTGGAGATTTTAATTTGAAATTAAACATTTAAAACTAGAGTTGCGCAACGCAATATTTGTTATTTATGTTTACGTAATAAAAAGTTATGCAAAAATGTTAATTAGCTACGTTGGTTTTTTATTTATTAGAAAAACATTTTCAATCAAAGCATTTTCAATGTTTAAACTGCTACAAGTTTTTAAAATAGAAAAAAGCAATAGTAAGCCAAATCACAAATTTGTAATAAAAATAGTTCCATCGTTTTAAGCAGTTGCACTAATTGACCTAACAATTAGTCGTAAAGTTTACGATGATGGTTTACTATTCTACAATTGTATTTCGTTTGTAAACATCAAATAGTTTTCAAATTTGAAATCCTTTCAAAAACTTCCAATGTGAGCGTATGTAGCATTCCAGAATGTCCAACCCGGTTCGGTAACCAAATTCCCAATAAGAAATCCATTCCTGTGCTGGTTCAGCTGGCATATTCTTAGCAGGTAGTTGAAATTGAACGAGTCACAGTTGTACGCTCCAACTTTCATGCACTGGCCTACACATAAGGAAGGTCTGTCGGCTTCAAACTCCATGAAAATGTAATTCAGCAATTGTTGATTGTTCTTAGAAGTCCACATTTTTTCTAAAATGTTCAGTTTTTTAATTTATTTTTAAATTTATCATCAACTGAATATTTCCAAGGTTGATCACCTGTAGCCAGCAGTGCTTCATAAGCTTCCAACTCGCAAACGGAAAAATATCCATCGCTGGCACCAGCGGCTTGGTGAGCGATGATGTAACGGTAGGCAGGCAGGTTGGCGTTGCATTGGAGGATGACCCTGGAAGCAACTGGAACATCTCCAGGGTAGGTTGCACACAGAGGGTACTGTCCTCTGATTGGTGGTTCAACTGCAGCGCTTGATGACGTCAGACCGATGATGAAGTTAGACAGACGTAACCTAACTAAGAAAAATGTTAATGTTTATATAATAGCGGCGCATTGAAAACAAATTTGGATATTTTGTAATAATATAGCTCTGATCAAAATACTCCCTAATTTTGTTATGTTTGATTATGTTTGTTGAGTCTTATCAATGGTTATAATTATAGTCATAATTATTAATAATAAAAGCTTTCATTCAAATCATTAAATTGAAATTTTTATGGATTTGATGTTTTAGATCGATCAGTTGCAACATATTTTTCGAAATGACAACTGTTACCGCAAATAGTCTATTAATTTATTTTTAACGTAACTCACAATGACAAAAAAATGGTTATTTTTAACTTAAGTGTTTGAAATTTTGTTCACTTGCCAAAATGACACTGCATGTCAAAACAGGGGCTCCGAAAGCCGCATATGGTCAAAGATTGTGCAACTTCGTTCTACAATTTTTTAGCTTTTTTTTTCTTTGAATAAAAATTATTAATTTGTTTAAAATTATTTTAGAAACTCAAATAAAAATTATCAAAGAAATTGATTTTTTAATATTGAAACTTCATAAAATAATTGGTCTCGTGACCTCACTTATTGTCAATTAAAAAAAGTTTTCACGACATTTTTTTTAACAGCACAATTGTCGTTTAACTTTTTAGTTTGTCCTCCAAAAACTTTTTGAGAAAGTTACTTTATGTAAGTTTATAAAACTAAAAAACTTTTTAAATATTTGATTTTTTCAATGGTTATGAAAAAATCAAAATAAATAATAATTTAGAAAACATAAATTTATCGAGACAAAACTAATAAAGCCCAACCAACCATATTCCGATATAGTATCCCTGCTAAGAAGAGCAACGTAATCAACCTGGTACTCTCTCTCCATGTCAACTTGAATCCAATTCGGATCGGTCAGAGATTGGTTTGTGTGCGCGCAATGACCATGGCGGGGAGTGGGATCTCTTACGCCATCGACCATCAGACCTGCGCTCATGTCAAATTCTCTCAATGTTAAAGTGTTTTGCTTCTTGTATGTTGAATTCATAGTTGCGTTTTTGTACAGCAGAAGATTTTTTCGCTGTGCCTTTGCTGGGAATTTCAAGTGTTATTTCACAGTAAACGATTTTATATTTTTAATAGTTTGTTATTTTGAAAATAAAATAAAAGAAACGAAATAACAAAAAGGTCACAAGTTTTAGTTAAACCTGTGCATCGTTTGCAAACATTTTGAAAAAATTTGGTCTTAATTGTCTCATTCAAGAATTGATAAAATATTATTTGACTGCCTAATGCTAAAAGGTTTTTTTTATAGAGCATTATGTGAATGTTGCAGAAAATTTTACATTATTAAGTTTGTAATATTTTAAAATTTTAGTTTAAATGTCGGCAACTGCACTACTTTAAATCAACTTTGCATTTTATAACGATGAACAAAGAATGAAGCAAAATTAAATAATTATTTTGTTTCATGTTTCGATTCAACTCTTTTATTAATAAAACGTTTCAACGAATTCCATCCCAAACAATTAAAGCCTAAAAAGTGCTTATCATTACTTAATAATTATGAAAATGGATTGAACTATTACCAATGACACAACCTTCAGAATATGTGCCCTCCACGACGACCTCGCACACCACCATCACATCTGGGCACGTGGCGTTCTGGTCGATAATAACTTTATGGATGAAAATGTTTTTTGCATTTGAACAAGAAAAAGATACATTCGTTTCATTCAGTTGACTTGTCAGGTTGTAACATGGGATGATCATCGACTTCTGAGTAGCCACTCCAACGTTCAAATCGGCTTATTTACAAATTGAGCTCAATTAAAAAATATTTTTTTAATATTTTTTGAAATAATAATTGCAAGAGTTTCAAATTTTACAAAGTATCTCACTTGTTACTGGTTTTCCATATACATGAACAAAATCAGCTCGATACAACCAAATCAAATCAACGATGATTTTCTGGTAACCAGACAAAAGTGATTTGAAGCAGAAAGGAGAGCTGAACAACCCATCAACCACCAACGATCCATTGAATGGAAATTTTGATGAACTTTCAAAAACTATTTTGCCTAGCGCCACATTTTCTTGACATTTCGCTAAAAAACTAACGCGGCTAATCAAGATAATGGTTGACAACAGTAAACAATTCATTGATAAAAGTTGAAATAATATTCAAATGAGATAATTCGAATTCAGAGAAATTTGTAAGAGTATTTAAAATAATATATTAAAACACGTTGAGACTTGTGAAAGAGGATTTGTTTTGCACCAAAACACGGAGGCAAAACTAATTTCAAAGCACAAAAAACTACATAAGCATGCCCGTGCTCGGTCTTCAAATTTGTCATTAAAATTTAAATCTAGGTGCAAATTAAATTCAGTATATTATTTCCTATGTAGAATGTGCTATAATGTACGTGTCAGTACATGCATGCAATTAAAATCGCATGGTTGTTGCTGTTAATTATAACGACAAAACGCTTTCATGCAGAATGTAAATATCAGTGCAACATGACGTTGGTATGACGTTGGTAGAAAATGTTTGCTGTTGAAGAAGAAATATTTTGACCACACATTGGAAGAGGGCTCGCCACATCATGGCGTCGTTCTTGCAAGGAGGCCTGAGAGATTGATGATCGATTTTGACTGCATCCCATGAAGTATTGATAAGAATTAAATTGGATTGAAAGGGAAAAAGGATACCGACAGAACAGTTCATATACAGTGGCAGATATAGGAAAAAATACTGAATAATATAGTAATAAAGTTAACGGTAAATTGTCATTAGCCAATAGAAGTCATAAAAAAATAATTCTGGAAATCATTTCACATCAATACTGGAATAAACAAAATCACTGGAATTACAAGAATTAGTTAAAAATAGGTCACCAATTTTACAATGCAACACCGAAAATTTTTGAATCCGCTATTTCTTATATATAATTGAATGTTTATGATTAATTACACTGGTCAACACCCAAAAAATTTCCTAAGGTCTTTCGGCTGATTTATGGAAATTTTGATGTCCTGAATCCAAATATCACATTGGTTTTTCTAGATCAGGTCAACTTTCTAAGCTATGGCCATATCTTCATTTTCACTTTTTTGTGTACAGTCCCAGGTATTTTCGCTGTATGTGATGCTTTGTTCTTAATCACTTCATCACTATGAGGAATTTGCAATTTTTAATTAATTGGTATTTTTATGTTTCCCCTATGCGCACACACACACACACACGTTCAATGCATTAAATCACGTAACTACAGTCACGTGATCAGACAATCGCAGACCTGCCCGGACGAGGCTGTGTATAACTATGGATAGTTACGTCAGCATTTTCCAAATCTGAGCCATATAGCAGATTGCATTAGTATAGGTATCAGTTGCAAACGAATCGCAAGCGAACGACATGGCTTCCAAGAGAAGATCTTGTAAAAATAAACCCGACGTATTTTGCTATATCTGCGGTGAATACACACTTGTTCATAACAGGAATCAAGTCACATGTTTCATAAAGCGTGCTTACCATGCTTATTTTGGTTATTAAACTTGGTGACCAGGATAAAGATTGGGCGCCACACATGGTATGCAAGGCTTGCACCGTGTATCTGCGTCAGTGGACCAAGGGCAAGAAGACGTGTCTGAAGTTTGGAATTCCCATGGTTTGGCGGGAGCAGAGAAACCATGACACTGACTGCTACTTCTGTAGCATCGATCTAACTGGGATAAACAGAAAGAACCGAAGCAGCCTCGAGTATCCTGATTTGTAATCCGCACGTCGTCCTGTAGCTCATTGTGATGATATTCCAGTACCTGTGTTTCACAAACTTCAAGACATCAGTGATGACGAATCCTCCAGTGATGAAGATCAGGAAACAGAAGAAGAATGGCCAGTTGTTGACGATGAAACTCCACAGCTTTTTTCCCAACAGGAGCTAAATGATCTAGTTCGCGACCTCAGCTTGTCAAAGGCCTCTGCTGAACTGTTGGCATCCAGATTGAAAAAAAAAACCTCCTCTCTGGCTGTGCTCGCATCACCCTGTACCGCAACAGGCATCAAGAGTACCTCCAATTTTTCTCGGAGGTGCAGGACTTGGTGTACTGCACAGATATTGCACAGCTTCTGCACCACCTGGGAGTGCCGCAGTACAAGCCCGAAGACTGGAGACTGTTCATTGACAGCAGCAAGCGGTCACTGAAATGTGTTCTACTGCACAACGGCAACCAGTTTGCCTCTGTGCCCCTTGCTCACTCTACTAAACTGAAGGAGAAGTATGAAGCGGTGAAGTATATGCTGGAGATGATTCGTTATGATCAGCATAAGTGGGTTATTTGTGTCGACCTGAAGATGGTGAATTTTTTGTTGGGGCAACAATCAGGGTTCACCAAATACCCATGTTTTCTGTGCATGTGGGACAGTAGGGACACTGCTCACCATTAAACGAAAAAGGACTGGCCTGTGCAAGAGGAACTAGTGCCTTGCAGAGCAAGTAACGTTATCATCAGCCCTCTGGTGGACAGAGACAGGATACTCTTCCCACCACTGCACATCAAGCTTGGCTTGATCAAGCAGTTCACAAAAGCTCTAGACAAGGAAGGTGGCTGCTTCAATTACATGTGCCAGACATTTCCGGGAGTAACCATAGTGAAGTTAAAAGCTGGTATCTTTGACGGTCCTCAAATCCGTCGGCTCATCAGAGATCCAGAGTTTGAAAAGTCAATGAACAAAGTGGAACAGGAAGCATGGAATGCTTTTGTTCTCGTTGTGAAAAACTTCCTTGGCAACAACAAGGCCAGAAACTATGCTGAACTTGTCAACAATATGGTGACTGCTTTCAAAAAACTCGGATGCAACATGAGCATCAAACTGCATTATCTATTTTCACATATGGATCGTTTTCCTGAGAATCTTGGATCAATGAGCGACGAGCAGGGAGAGAAATTCCACCAGGAGATGAAGGAGATGGAGACCAGGTATCAGGGACGTTGGAATGCCGTCATGATGGCTGATTACTGCTGGACTCTAAAGAGTGACATCCCTGATGCTGAGCATTCCAGGGTATCCAATAAACGGAAGTTCCAGCCCTAAATTCTTAACAATGACGAACATTAATGACCCTTACTTAAGGTACTGTGTTTCAGAACGCTTTTTTCTCTTTGAAACCAATTCCGAATGAGAAATGTTCATAGAAATAAACCGATTATGGCACAAAAATTTTACTGATTTATTCACAAATAAAATAAAATAAACATTTAACTTAGCAGAAAAACTGGACCTGACCTAGAGAAACGGATGTCATTTTCGGACTCAGCGGTGCCAAATTATCATAAATCAGTTGTAAAAAATTAGGAAATTTCCTCAAAAATTTTTTTTGTTGCTCAGTGGTTTTCTTGCCGATTTATAAATTTTATAAAGATTAGAAAATAAAATAATGATACAATTTTCAAAGAAATTTTATTAAAATAAAATTGTATAAAGTCCGTCATTTGGAAATAGATTATTAATTTATGCACGCTAACTTAACTTTACCCACACTCACAAACATACACACACACACATACATACACACACACACACACATTCACACAACTCAACAGACTAGCTCCGAACCAAGACAAATTAGTGTACAACTTCGCAGTGAGATATGGAGGAAAGAAAGAGTGTGACCACGTGATGAAAAAATTCAAGTCCCCATTTATTCCACCAATATTAAGAGAAGACATGTTGAAAGCTTTGGCACACAGCTTAAATTGTACACGAGTTCACAGGTAAGTTAGAAGCTTTTGATTTTTATTAATTTATTTATTTAAAGCATTGCCAACAAATAAAAATTCATATAAATGGTTTCCGCCATAACAAAAACGAAAAACGTGGCCAATCTTATTTAAAGTTTCATGCCTTGCTTTTAAATGGTGCATCTTGTCTAACATTCTCGAGATAGAGAAAATATTTGTGTTTTTGTTTGTTCAATTGTTGACAGCCTTCTAGTTCTTTGAATCAAGTCCCCAATGTTTAGAGTTGTATAAATTTTGCTTTCATTTCATAGACCCTTTTTATTTATATAAACACTTTACACAATACTATCTCGTTTTTTATCTTTTTCAAATCATACAAAAACTATAATTAAAAATGACGAACAGATTGCTGGGATGGTCTTTGAATAAATCTTTCGCCTCGAATAAATCTTCGTTCTTTTAGACATCTCAAAGTTTATCTCTGATCAGCCATCACTACATAAAACGTTATGGCTTTTAGTCAGAAAAAAGTGGCTTCGAATAACCAGAAAGTAATTCTTTTTTATTTTCAATAATTAATCAAAAAATATTAGTTACATTTTTTTCGAATTTGTTTATGAATACGCTTTATTTTATCGTTTCTTATTATTGTTATTATAAGAAAATTTTTATATAAAGCATATGAAAGAAGACACGTTCAGCTCTTAATAAATTGTTTTTCAATAAAAAATTAAGAGCAGACATAAGCTTGTAATTGTGTCCAAATGTTTAGAGAAAAAAAGTAACTGATTGTTTAATATTTTTGGTCACTACACTACTTTAACCAAACTTGGTTGAATATTTTTTTATGTTTTGTTGACTTACACAAAAATAAATAAATATACTTATTGAAAAGAGGTATACAAACAAAATAGTGATATTTGTATTGAATAATTTCCTCTCGTCCAATTACTTTGTCCATCAAATAATAATAAAAATGCCTTATTCATATAACGCCATGACAATCGACTGAGACGAATTATTATTATTACAACAAACACACAGTGAATAAATTTACGTGAAACAACGCATGACTTACTTTTGCATGTGAAAGTCGTGGATATCTTCATAATCGCACCATGACACTGCATTCATAATGTCATGGACCTATTACAGCATCGTGCGGTCAAATTATGGCTCAAATCAAAGGCATTAGTACGAACTGTATATTCTATCGAACAAAATCAATTTTAGTATATTTGGGGTTTTAACTTTTCTGGTTGGTATGGTAATTAATTTGGTAAATAAATTGTTAGGTTTGCAGGGAATGCCAGGAGGTTCCTAGTTGCAGTTGCACCGATCTTCACAACGGAAGTAAAACATCATGAAGTTAGCAGTACCACTAACGCCAGTCAAATAGAAATTGATTGCGTATTTCTTCGATGTGTGAGCATAATTTCAAAAAAACTCTTTAAAAGTCTGTACAGTGTACATACAACAAAAACTGGCACGTACATCAGCATACACTCGTTTACCGACATCACTCATCATTAACATTTTCCGAATCTATCCAAATAAAAAAATTCATTGTCAATGCTGTTAGCCTCATCTCATGTCCTCTTGTTCGTCTGATGGCTCTCAATATTTTCGGCAAGCTTCGTTGGTCCTTTTCATTCAACATGTTAAACATCGTTATTAAATCACTTCTTATTCGTCTGTATTTCAGTGTTGGCAGTTGTTAAAATCTTAATCGATCCTCATATTTCATTCCCTCACAGTCCTTGATCCTCTTTGTTGCTCTTTTCTGAACCTTTTCGATTGTTTCTGTTTCACGTATTGAAAAAAAATTATTTTTATTTAATTTTATTTAACATCGCTTTGTAGATTTTCGCTATTCTACAATATTCCAATTCGGCGCCACGCGGTCCTGAACCGCGTCTGCATACGAATATCCACCCGAGCCTTCACTTTGGCGGAGTCTTTCCTGGTCGGGAGCCGCCACTCTACAATAGACACTCTCAGGGTCTGAAAACACGGACCGGGCCTAAGTTTGACTAGAGACGCCGGCCTCGGCAACTGTCAGCAAGTCTTCTTCAACATACATTATTTTTAAGTAAAATAATTAAGCCGAGCTAAAATTCAAGTGTTTACTTTTAAAAAACAAAATAGTAAAAATCAGACCTCTGTCTTTATATAAAAAGTAACAATTAACATACGATAAGTTAAAATTAACTATCTGTTAATACAATATACTACAACTATCACGCAAACTATCCGAGATATAAGCGACTATAATCAGCAGCTAAAAATAACACCAGAGCAAAACCAAGAAGAACACTAATATATCAACTCGCTGCCTTTTAGGTTTTGACTGCTCTATTTACATAACGCTTTCTATACTATAGAACATTCTATACTCCCTTCTATACTCTCTTCTATACTCTCTTCTATACTCTTTTCAATACTCCCTATCCTTTATACAGAACAGCACATAGCAAGCATCGCATATAATATCGCATATATAGCTTAGCAAATAACAAATGTATACATACATAGAATAGTTAATTTAAATATATAAATATATACAGGCGGCACAATTCAAAGAAGCAATTATTATCATCGCAATCGTCACAATTTAATTTCGCAGCTTTATTGTTTGTGGTGTCCGTATTTGGTGAAAATATTAAACAATTGAACTCACACAAATTGGCTTTTTACTCATTGGATTTAAAGTTTTACATCCATTTACATGGAATATTGTGAGCGGATGAAAACAAGTAACACTGTTTCCTAGAACTTACTCAAAGTTTTTTTAAAAAGTTAGAAGATTCTCTTGATTGTTTACGTCGTAACTGATGGCTATTAACAACAGAACAGTGTGATTATTTAGGAAATGATTGGCATTGCAGTTAGTAGATTATTTAATAGCATAATTTAATTCATTAGATTCATATTCAATTAAATGGACAATTTGTTGTTTTAAAAAAAATTTCTAATAATTTTTAACCCTGATGTTTGAACAGCTTTGTTAGTTGTTTTCAAAAAAAGATATTTTTCTAATAACTTATTAAAATTGTATTTAGTTCCCAAATTTTATTCCATAGCTTTCACATACATAACCAGAAATTGCATAGTGGTTTACATTATTCGTTAGGTTGTTTTTGAAATTCATTTTGATCCGACTTTTCAATATTTTATAAATTAAAAATACTCAGGGCAAACAAACAAATTATTCGATTAAGCATTCATTTTATTATATTCAAAACAATCTACAAATATCAATTAGACCGTGGTTAAATTAATTTTAGCTATCGCTTCGCCATTCTTTTTAAAACTTGATTCGTATTGATAGTCGATCAGTGACGATACCACAATCTCCGACCGACAATATGGACAGGTTGAACTCTCCATAGACCACCGATGGATACAAGTTGGGTGAAATGCATGCTTGCACTTCACCACACACACAATCGATCTTTCGTGGAATTCTTCGCCACATATTGAGCAATCTTCATTCATACACTTGTCTTTCAAATACGGCAATGTGTATGTTTTGCCATCTGCAAGGTTTCTGTGAAAATTATCTATGTGAACAATTCGTCCTTTAACTAGAACACCGTAAGTATGAAAACTCAAAGTGCTTTTGTGTTTTTTTGCTGAATCAACTACAGTTGAAAAATATCTGTTCTGGATGTCTTCCATAAGTTTATGAAGCTGGTCAGTCGTGATTGACGTTATTGATGTTAGCTGGTCATGCAGAAGAGAAACGTCAGAAGCCAGACAATTGGCCAAAATGTCAATCTCATTGTCCGTCAATCCATTTGTGTTTTCATGCTTTAACAACTCTTTATATTTTTTATTCACGGTTCTATATTGACTCTTTTTAAAATTGTCTAAATACATATCGACGATAATTTCAACGCCGCATTCAATTTTGCTTTGAGAATCCATTTGAAAAACAAATTAAAATTTGGAAATTTGGTTAAATTTGGAAATTTGGTTATAAGAAATATACAAGAAGAAGGCTGTAGTGCAATAATACTGTGAATGACTGATTCACGTTTAAGCTCCTTCTTTTATACCATTAAATACAAAGTTTATTGTGTGATCGTAAACCAAACCAAAGATCGTTAATAAATATTGAAAATTTACATTTAAATTAAGTTAAATTTTGGGTTTGGGTGAATTTAAAGATACATAGATACGTTTATGACTTAATTAGTTAATTTCAACCTATATTGAGCTAATTAATGCTTATTAGAATTAATTAGTTAGTTTGTTAATTAATTCCTACCTATATTGAGCTAATTAATGCTTTGTCTGCAAACTGCTTCACACAAAGGTCTCGCAAAGTTAAATATTTTAAAGTAAGTTTGAGAAGTAGGTTTACGGAAAGTTAACTTTGTGGTCACAAAGAGATGTAAATAATAAGTAAAACATTATAAATTTTGCAAATGAATTAAAACGATTCACTTATTTGCCTGTCGTCGTTGAAACACGTTTCATTTGTTATCAATTTTATAAAAAAAATATTTTTAGATAAATCTCGTGTTTTTAACTAATTCAAAACTGTTTATGTTACTTTTTCGAGCCAAACATGAAAGTGCGATTCAAGTTCAGCATCATTCGTCCAAATGATTACATCTCATTATTCAACACGCAGAAGGTTTGATGTGATGTGTGTCTTATTACGTTATACAGTGTTTAGAAAAATTCCCAATTTAATCCTGCATTTTTAACAATTAAATCTACTTGCGACGAAAAGCGACTTACGTGTTGAGTATTCATTAGTGTTGAAAATATTATAAAGTTTAATAATCGAAATCGAACGAGAAACGACCTACCTTGTTACGGTTACTAATATTTTTATTGTTTGATTGCAACTAAATTTATTTTAATGAAGTAAAATAACAAAACTTAAAACTGAGAATTAAAATATAAAATATAAAGAATAACTCAAATGGTAATGTGTAAAAGTAAAACTATACAGGAAATCTTTAATATTTAGCGGCATATGTTACCATGTGCGACCGGGGACCTTATTATATAATACCATATAATGACAAACATTGAACAAACTAAAACGTTTTCTGTCTTCTATGAATATAGGCATCAACTTTCCATAACTGTATCGATTCTGGTTTACTGGTGCAGTTAGTTTTCATCACAAGAAATGACGCTTTTTGGTTGGAGTAGTCCAATGAAATCAAAGTTGTTCTGAGTAAGAGCAACGATGAAAATGACATCCAACAATCACAACAACAAAATACTGAGCAGATTGTTTATATCTCATCAACAAATTCATTCATGAACGACTCTCTTTCCAGTTCTCTCCCTTTCTTCTTCTGTTCAACGTCAGCAGCATCAAGATCATCACAAAAAAAGAAAAGCAGAGCATTGTTCATCGTCCTCACACTCATCTCAATCTAGAAATCACTCGAAGCTGGATAGAACTTTGCAGGAGAGGTCAGAACAGGATTTGAACAAACAACTCATGCGTCAACCACATTATCAGCAACAACACCAACAACAGCGCCATCACCAACAACACCATCAACATCACAAGAAAATAAGATAAACGTCAGCCACATCAGCACCAACAACCACATCTCCCAAGAAGTGTAGATCCACATAACTAGAATAAATATAACGCCCTTCGTTCACTTTTAACGGTCGAACAAGGAGCTTACTTCCGGAGAGGAGTTGGAGGGTGATTTTTTATCGTTCGAGTTAAAAGTTACGATCGTATATTTACTAATTACGGAATATTTCTTTTATTTAAAAAAAGTTTTAATTTTTGTTCAATTGTTATTCAATGTGGTAATTAATTACTTTTAATTTGAATAAATTTAAAAAAATAAAATCAACATTACCGAAAATAATTGAAAAAATTGAGGTTCTTTGCATATTCTTGCATCAACCCATAAGAAAGTGTTGTATATTGGTAAATAGGCCTCCCCTTGAGTAGATCAACACAAAAAACAAACATTTTCCCATTCGAATGGCTCCGCCTTTTGCTGGGGAGTATTGTATGGGACTACAAAAATATTTTATTACAACGAGCATTAAACATTTTTGATAATTTTAACATCTATGCTTTAAACTTGATTTATTATTACTTTTTCTTTGCTTCACTTTTAACTTTCACTTTTTCCTTTTCCCCTTTTCCGTTCACATCATGTAACTACGGTGGTTTCGTTTAATTTAATGATATTGTTTTTTCGACATAAATTGTCCAATTTATAATTCGACAACAAAGGCGAAACATTTATAAATTGAACATTCCTCAACAAGTGTAGACACTGCTTCCACTTTCAGTGTCTGAAACAACTATTTAACAACAGTGGAAGTGAAATGCCCATGCTGTAGGACAGTTTATAACATGCAGTACGGAGAATGCCCTGGTGGTACATAAGACATTGAAGCTACCGGAGATGACGTCATTTTAGAATTTATCCTACATGAAGTCACTTGCATTATAAATATACAGCGTGAAGAAGATCTGGATGAAACGGTCTTAAAATTACTTGAAAAAGCGTGAAGGAGACAAGATAACGAAAGAAATTTTAACTTTCTTCGCGAAAAATAGTTATGAAAACAAGATAATCATATCGACATTAGAACAGTTGAACGTTTTCACAAATTTGCTCAAATGACGACATCCACTTCAACACGTTTGACGACGATGAAGACGATGATGATGGCGATGCGAACACCATATATGATTATGATTATGACAGCGATAATGATGACAACGATGATGACGACAATACATAGTTATATAGTCACAACTCATCGAATTTCACTTACGAAAATTTCTTCATCGCTGTGGTGGCGAATCATGAAGATGAGGATGAGAGTAACAGAAGTATAAATATAGAGGACGATGAGGAAGATGATCACACCGTCACAATTAACGGCCATTCATACAACCTCACCCAGTTGGATGATTGTAATGCTCAGCACTTCCAAGTGTATATTAATGGAGTCTACATCACATATTTCGAAGTGAAAGATGATGTCAGTTCGGACGATGAGCTTAAAGTTAGAAAAACGATTGAAGACATACAGCTAGATTTTCATCCACTAAACAATGAAATGATTAATGAATCAAAATAATATAAGTATGTAGATGACGTAGATATTGTACAAAATATAAATATTGTATAGAATGTGAATAATGTAAATATTATGTAAATAATTTATTTCTATTTCTTGCGTAATTTATATCTTTTTTTATGTTTTTTCCCACTTTCATTGAACATTGAAGTCACCGAAGAAGACGTCATGTATGAATTTTTTCTATAGGACTTCAACTGCATTTTGAAAATTAAGCGTGAAGATGATTTGAAGAAAACGGTAACTAAATTACTCGAAAAAGCTTTGAGGAGACAGTAGATAATTAAAAAAAATTTTAACATTTTTTGCAGAAAATAATTATCAGAATGGTAGGTGACTAGTACAAGGAATTAATTTATTTTTCTTGGTCTCTTGAAAGCATCGTCCCAAGAATGATTGGCTAGAAAAAGTAGAAAAAACATTTTTCTCTCTACATTATGTTGAAGAAAACTGCTGCATTGAAAATTTTGTCAAGCAACTTGTCGCAATCCAATGCCAGCAGAACTGACAATTCGACGTTAGACGAAAATAAATAAATTTTATTTTCAACTTAGTTTAGGTATCAGCTAAGTTTAGCACCTAAGGCCTAACGGTACGATCATTCTCAGTGGCAGATCGAGAAAGGTCGGAGGGGACAGGGCGAAGGCCGTGCGGCGATACAATATTTCAAGGTTGACCGGGTGAACGCACTGTACATTTCCTTCACCATCATTGGGGTATATTTTTTAAAATGATATTTTAAATAATTTTTTTAGTAAATTTATTAAATAAAAAAAACTGACATTTTTTCAAGAGTTTACGAGCAAATTATTGACTGTTTGAAACTTTTTTTAACTCGTTGCTAATAAATAATATCACAGCGTAGGCCATCGACACTTTAATCGTGTGCTTTTTTTAAATGGTTTTTCAACACATTGCAATTAACTGAGGTAAACAAAAAAAGCATTGGATGTAGAGAATCGCCGCAAAATATAAAAATATCTATACGTGAACAATGATAAAATCCGCTCTTAAAAATTTCCAGAGAAAGTTAGTTTTTTTTTGTATATTTCTCTTTTTTCAATTTATAGATATTTTCCGGATCTGCCACTGATGGCAAATGAATTTTTTTAAATGATATTCCGATTGTAAAACGGTTTCATGAACTTTTGTTAACACTTCTGTGAGAATGATAGGTTGGATTTAAAGTTTTCAAGTAATGATAACACGGTTAAATTTCGTGTCAGTGCAACGTCCCATTGAACAAAATAATAATAATACGAATAATTAATTTTTAAAAATTGAAGCGTATATCAATTGCGATTGACATAATAATCGACTGAGATGAAATTTTAAACATATGGCAAATTAGGAACATCTGTTTGTTTTATGCTAAATTTTGCATATATAATAGTTGATTCACGCATATGTATTTAGATTGTTTACTGGATATTTTTAAACTTAAAAATAGTTTTTTTCATTGCCAGCGTTAGAACTTGAAACATCATCCGAAATGATTTTTTGTTATTACGTGTTGGCAGTTGTAACACTAACGGCGATTCAGTGCTTTGCAAGTAAGTTTTCTTTTTCAAAATATTTTTTTTTGGTATTTTCGATGGTACTGAGTGCTTTGTAAACAAATTTTAAGAATTGGAATTAAAGTTTTATTATTTTAAATCAAAAGTTTCGTGCCCCAAAGAATTTCACGTAGTATTTCAACCACACTTACACGGCTTTTATAAAAATTTAAATCTTCATCTTAAGAATGAAAATCAGGTTTTTTTCAATAAATAAATTTTTCTGAATAACTTTTCATTTTGTTCAGTCATCTATCAATACATGCATTAAAAAAATTAACACATTCGTCTTATCAAAACGTACACATTAAATTTACTAAATCCTCCAGACGATTTGTGTCTACACACAGAAGAGGTTTGGGGGTTTGATGGTCGGTGTTAAAACAAGAGATGCGTTGGGAGAATATATCTTATGGGTACGAGTTTGTCGAAATTGATATTAACTATTTTTCAATTTCATCGTTTGTCGTCATTAAAAACCTCTGAATTAATAAATTCATAACGATGCCTGAACTTTAAAACATTTAGCATTGGAAACCTATGAACCTGCAACAAAACAGCAAGAGACAAACTCATGAATTTTATAATTTCAAATTTCTAGCACGGAAATTTTCTGCATGAACATCAGTATTATGGTTTGGAAAAATCTGGTTCAGCAGGTACCCACAAAAGATGTCCTCCAAATTCATTAATCGTGGTAATAAAGAGGAGACGTTATTTGATCTGTCCGATCCATCAACAGACAACGAATTCTAATTTAACTAACATTGTTTATCGTTGAATAAATGTTGTGAACAAAAATTGTTTGTCATTACGACACTAAAAAGAATGAAGTTTTCTGAAAAACTTAAACTTAAAAAGTTAATTGAGATGTAACGACACAAATTTGTTATGTTTAAGATAAAAAAGACACTTGCAGTGTCTAAAACAACTCTATTTAGCCACAGCTGAATTGAAATTACAGGACGTCAATTGTATTTTTAAAATTAGGCGCGAAGAAGATCCGGATGAAACGGTGATAAAATTATTTGAGAAAGCGTGGAGGAGGCAATTGATAACTGAAGAACTTTTATCATTCTTCGCAGAAAATAGTTACGAAAACAAATTAATAACATCGACATTAGAAGAGTTGAACGTTTTCCCCAATTTACTCACAGAGCATATTGATGATGGTGACGATGAACTTCCGGCTGCTCAAAACCTCGACGATGCAAACGACGACATCTTCTTCAACAAGTTTGACGACGATGAAGATGATGATGACTACGAGGATTTATATGATTATAACAGCGAAGTTGTCGATGAAAACAGCCGTGGGAACAACAACATCAACAACGATGATGTTAAAGTTAGACAAATGATTGAGGACATTACAGCAAGATTTTCATCCACTGAATAATGAATCAGAGCAGTTTACATATTTGTATGACGTAGATAATGTATAAAATGTAAATATTGTATAAAATGTAAATATTGTATAAAATGTAAATATTGTGTATAATGTAAAGATTGTATATAATGTAAACATTATGTTAATTATTTATTTTCAATTCTTGTGTTATTTATATATATTTTTTATGTTTTTCCATTGTAGATAGGTGATTAGAACTTGTGAATATGTAGATAAGATATTTTGGTTAATAAAAAATATTTCCTCAACCAACTTTATCAAATTTTTTTAATTCTCGTATAATCCAATTAAACGGTTGTGAAAATTAACTCAATAGAGGCGCTCAACAAATATACGTTGCACTAAAAGACAATTCAATTCAATACAATAAAATACATTACAATAAAATAAAATACATTAAATGACTGGATTTGAAAACTGTCCATGTCCGATATTTAGTTACTTATTTTCATTTTCTAAAACTATGGTCACTGATTGATATATCAACTTATATATACATGTATTTTGATATTAGTATCTTTGCACGCAGTATAATTATCTTCGCGACACATTTGTTTAAAAAAAACTTTGTTTGATAATTATTCCAAAGTATAATTAATTCAAGAAGTCTAGAAAGAGTTAATCTTTGTGGAACCAAAGAAATGTAATAGAATTAAAATATTTTACTTCATGATCTTTGTGGTCAGAAACTTCACATCATGAATTGTATTAAAAAAAATAATAATTGAAAAAAGATAAACTGTTGAAATTGATGACTTGATGATGAGCCAGATGAAAACCGCAACAACAAAAATTTTGCGCTACATTCCACTGCGGACGCTGAAAGAATCTTAAAAAATGAGCTAACTAAAATTTTTCATAATCTTTAAAGTTATAATAAAAAAATCAACTTTGGGCATGAAATGATTGCTTTATAATTTAAGATTTACTCTGCTTCGTTTTAATATTTTGAAGAAAAGGATTAAATTTTGGTAAATGTATCAAAAAACATCACAAAATAAATATAATTCATCAACGTTTGTGAATCTAATCGTTTTAACTGACGAACAAACGAAGTTCATTTGCTACATAAATTTGCTTGAAATTAATTCAACACCCGATGAATATACAAACACAGGGGTGGGCAAGTCATGTTCGAAGTTGAAGAATTAATTGTTTTAAAAAATTAAAATTTGTAAATTGCTGATTAAACAGAGTTTTTTACTAAATACTAAATAGAACCGTTCTTAACAAAGCCGAAACAGTAAGTTAAAACGATAAGTTGAATTAGTTATCTTCCTTTTCTTCTTATTACTCTAATTATTGATATTAATATTATTATTATTAATTACAAATTAATAGACTCTGTAATTAGATCGACCTGTGCCATTTATTGCGATAGGAATATAATAATGTAATAAGAATAAAATTACTGAAAATTAAAATGTTGTTTAGCCAATAGTAGGTTGGTCCTTTCAAAAATTTTCAGTTATATTCTACTTTTAATACAATCAGGACATAACATCATCAATAAACTAGATAATATTTCAGAGGAAATTGAAAATAAAAATATTTAATTATCTTAAAAATGCATTGATTCCAAAATCCGGTTTTCCGAAGACGTTCAAAGATTTTTCTTGATCAAACTATATTTTAGATGCTACCAGATCTTTCCTTCTTGTCTATATCGTTGTCAGTGTGATTTTCGCTACCACATCACCATTCTTCTTAACATTTGTCTCGTATCGATAGTCGATCAGTGACGATACCACAATGTCCGACCGACAATACGGACAGGTTGAACTCTCCATAGACCACCGATGGATACAAGTTGGGTGAAATGCATGCTTGCACTTCACCACACACACAATCGATCTTTCGTTGAATTCTTCGCCACATATCGAACAATCTTCATTCATACACTTGTCTTTCAAATACGGCAATGTGTATGTTTTGCCATCTGCGAGGTTTCTGTAGAATTTATCCGTGTGCACAATTCGTCCTTTGACTAGGACGCCGAATGAATAAAGACTCAAAGCGCTTTTGTGTTTTTTTGCTTGTTCAGCAACACTTGAAAAATGCATGTTCTGTAACTCCTCCATAAGTTTATGAAGCTGGTCAGTCGTGATTGAAGTTATCGACTTTAGCTGGTCATCCAATAGAGTGACATCACATGCCAAACATTTGGCCAAAATGTCAATCTCGTTTTCCGTTAATACACATTTGTCGATTTGTTTCAACAATCCTGTATATTCATCCATCAAGGCTGCATATTGACTCTTTTCAAAATTGTCCATATACATATCAACTATGTTTTTAACGCCGCATTCAATAATTTCTTGATGATCCATTTGAAAAATTAATTGCAAATTAGTTGTGAGAATTACCAAGTAGGGGCCTCTAGCTAAGAATTAGAGAGATTGAACCATTCACGTTTCAGCTCGTTCTCTTATACCATCAAATACAAAGATTATTGTGCGATCATGAACCAAAACCAAAGATCGTTTATTTATAAAGCGCCTGTAATAACAATTTATTACAAGTTGATATAAGAAGTTAACTTTGTGTGAATGCAAGGATGCAAAGATACGTTTATTAATGCATATTGGGTTAATTACTGTTTTGTTTGCAGGATGGTTTATAAAAAGGTCTCTCAAATTTAAATCTTTAAAAGTGTAATACTTTTGGAAAGTTCGTTTATATAAAGTTAACTTTGTGGAACCAAAGATATTTAAATAGTAAATAAAATAGGATTTTGAAATTTGCCAAAGAATAATAATTATTTTCTTTCAATCTTTATTTTGAAATGTTTTTCAAATCAAATCTTTTTACATGAAATTATTTACTAAATTAATATCACAAGAAATTTTTGGAAGTTTATATAAAATTGAATGACGCCGAACAAATTGCTTGCTTTTTGTATGACAATTTTTATACCCATGTTGTTGGGGTTTGTTGTGTCTTGTAATAGACTGTAAAAAAAAACTAAATTTTAGCTGCTCCCAGAAACTCTCGTACTTGCTTACATCGTTGTCAGTGTGATTTTCGCTACCACATCGCCATTCTTAACATTTGTCTCGTATCGATAGTCGATCAGTGACGATACCACAATGTCCGACCGACAATATGGACAGGTTGAACTCTCCGTGTACCACCGATCTATACAAGTTGGATGAAATGCATGCTTGCACTTCACCACACATACAATCGATCTTTCATTATACTCCTCGCCACATATTGAAGTGTTTGAAAAAACTGTACTTAAGTACAGCAGAATTGTAATGCCCATGCTGTAGGACAGTTTTATAACATGCAGTGCAAAGAATGCCCTTGGTGGTACATTAAACTTTGAAGCCACCAAAGATAACCTCATTTTAGAATTTGTCCTACAGGACGTCAATTGCTTTATAAATATACATCGTGAGATGATCCGGATACAACGGTCAGAGATGGGCAGTAATGTAATTCAAGTAATTTCATTACGTAATTCAAATTACAATTGTAATTTGTATCGAAATTACTTTTTATGTAATTGTTAATTTTTAATTTAGAAATTTCATCTTTCATGTAATTTGGTAATTTTAAAGTACTTTCAAATTACATTTTGACTAAAAAATATGTGATTGAAAAGATATACTTACACAAATTATTATTATTATTAAAAAAATTTTTTTTCTTGAAATTCTAAAAATTTTTTTTAATTCTAAAAATTTATTTGATTAAAAATTTCATTTGCAACTTTGAAGTTCTATGGTCATATAGCTACATCAACGAAGTTTACTTCTTTGATGTTTGACGCTTTTTTTTTCTTTATTTCCTTCTTTCTTTCCTTTTTCCTTTTTTTCCTTCTTTCTTCAGTCGTTCATTAAACAATTGAACAAATTGTTGATCGAAAGAAAGTAAATTAATAAAAGAATACGAAAATGACATCACAGAACTTGCAAAATCAAAAGCAGTGGTGATTGTTGATAGAAAGAAAGTAACTTAATAAACGAATTTAAAAATGACATCAAAGAATATCAGCGCAAAGAAAAATCAATGTTTAAATAACTTCAAAGAAATTGTTTTTCTTTATTTATTCAAAACTGGTTTGATGTAATTTAATTTCATGTAATTTGAAATTAGTAATTTGTAATTAGTAATTTGGCTCTTTTATTAAATGTAATGTGTTATTGGAATCGAAATTACAATATTTAGAGTATTTTGTAATTTTTATCGAAATTACAATATAGTGTACAATTAGCCCATCTCTGACAACGGTAATAAAATCACTCGAAAAAGCATGGAGAAGACAGTTAATAAGTGAAGGAATTTTAACTTTCTTTGCAGAGAATAATTGTCAAAAGGAAAATGTCATACCAGCATCAAAGCAGTTAAACGTTTTTAAAAATACACTCACCAAACGTATTGATGATGAAGTTGACGATGAACTTCCGGCTGTTCAAAACATCGATGATGCAAATGAAGATATCATCTTCAACACGTTTGACGACGATGAAGATGATGATGATGATGAGGACGATACGAACAAGGATGACTACAAAGATTACTGCATATACGATTATGACAGCGAAGATGATGTTGTCGATGAAAATGATCACAGCAGTAGGAACAACAACAACGACGACGAATATGATGATGACAGTTCATAGTTATTCACCATCGATGACAAAACTTTTAGTTACGAAAGATTTTTCACCGCTGTCGTGACGAATCTTGAAGAATAAGATGAAAGAAATGAAAGTACAAATACGGAGGACTATGATGAAGATGATCACATCGTCACAATTAGCGGCAGTTCGTACAACCTCACCTTGTTAGACGATTGAAATGATGCTCTTCCAATAATATATTAATGGAGTCTACATCGGAGGTCGATGAGTGTATCTGTATAGTTAGACACATGATTGAGGACATTGCAGCGAGGTTTTCATCCACTGAATAAGGAAACGTAATTATTGTTAAAGTGCAAATATTGTAATTTTATTTTTTGTGTTATTTAAATCCTTTTTATGTTTTTTTCCATTTTAATTATCACAACATCTAGATGAAAATCTAGCAATGAAATAAAAATATAAACACAATCTTACACACACAAACACACACACGACACGCACCCAAACATTAAAAAGTACAAAAACACATAGAAACGAAGCAGTACTTACATGTGTGGGTATGATTTTATTATATTCACTTTTAAATGTTTCCAGTTAAAACTAGTTTAGACTAAATAAATTACTTTAAATAAAAATCAATTTAACCTTTTCATAAATTTATCAATTTTGAAAAACAATTTCACGATTTAATAAAACAAACAAAAACCTGCTGTAGTAATATTACTTATGAGCTGTATTAACAAGTATTATTATAACTTTATTAGCGATACACATAGCGCAAATAATAGCGCACATATAAAAGGTATGGCACGGATTCGTTTTGTTAAAGGTTAAATAAATAAACAACCCAAAATTAAAAAGTTTGTCATTAATCCTAAATTCTGGCACTCAATGTATTTTCATTCAATTAAATAAATTATTACTACTACTTATTCTATGCTTGCACACACCACACACACACACACACACACGAACACACAAAATTTAAATTTAATAAAAAAATGAGTTTTAATATTATACTATTTTAATTTTTAGTTTTATTAACTATATCTGCACGTGATTTCTCCAGTAACTGACGCTAAAAGTAACCTATCTCCATTTGTCAGTGAATGTTGGAATTGTTATAATATAGGAAATCCCTCATTTGTATTGTTGCACTACCACTACAACAACAACAATAACAACTACTACTACCACTACTGCTACTACTACTACTGCTACTACTATTACTGGTACTAATACTACTCTATTACTACTACTACTACTACTACAATACTACTACTACTACTACTACTACTACTACTACTACTACTACTACTACTACTACTACTACTACTACTACTACTACTACTACTACTACTATTACTACTGCTACTAGGAGGGAGAGAGAGAGAGAGAGAAAAAAAAAGAGAAATAGAGAGAGAGAAAGTTTCGTCAAACTTATGAATAAAATTTTCTAATAACGTCGAAAAATTTCAGGCAATACAAAGTTTCAAACAAACAAAAAATTCAATGGATTTGTGTTTTTCAATTAATATTTTCCTATATAATTGTATTTAACAAAACTATGATGAAAAAAATTAACTAAGTCAAACATTTGCTATCAATAGTTTTTCAATATAGTAATTCTGTGCAAAGCCATTTTCAATTTAACAAAAGGCTAAACACAAATGAGGTTAAGATTAAAATATTATTACACTCTTCCAAAGATCAGGGAAACCAATAGCACTCATACATCGTATATGAATACGTGCTAAATGACATAGCACATGTGATAGACGAAGATCATTTAGTAGTATTCGAACCAGGTCACTGCGTAACAAGACCAAGTGATCCAAACCATCACGCCGACCAAACAAGCCATGAAGTAACGTAATTTTCATAGAAACATTCATTCTACTAGTTCTATTTCATTCAATAAATAACGACTCTTACTTGTAATCGACTACAACTTGTTTGGAGCATTTTTTCAAAATGAAAGCACTGTCTTGAGCAGTGATTTTGCCTAGGCAGTAGAGAGGCTTTATTGCAGAGCAGACAAGATTTTCCAAAATAACTACATCAAAAGACTGTTCTTCTGCGAATGAATGATATGACAAAAAAAGGTTATAGTTAAAACCACTTAAACAGTATTAAATTATAATTTGCAAAATAATTATTAATGTGTTAGAAACAAATTTTGGCTTTCAACCTCCAGAAACATACATTATTTCTAACAACAAAATGAAATGTTTGGGTCAAAACCTTCAAATTATCATTATTGTAAAATCAAGAAAACAAGAAGTGTGAATTTTGTTCTGTAGTGATTGAAGCAAATCAATAGGCATTTAATAATATAAAACATTATTTAACTCACTCAACATTCGATATTTCAAAACTTTTTGCGAATATTTCCACCATCTTTCATCAGAAATGTTTCTAAATTGGTCATCATATTCTCTCACCAATCAGATTGTTAACCAGTTGCATGAATTTCTTAATAAAGTAACTCATAAACGTTGATGCAACTTTCCCAAACTTAATTTGAAAACTAAAATAACGCAGCCCTATAAAAGTAACATTCATTTAAGAAAGAATTAAGAAAAAAATTTTAACCTGTCATTTTAAACATGTTACAAGCACGGCACATAATTTTATTTTTGAAAAGTAATCCCCGTATTCTCATTTTAAAGAGAAAAAATTTAGGAAATATACCGTGAATAAGGACGATAAATAATCAGCGTTTGGTAAAATGATTAACTAACACTATTTTACCACAAACAAACAAATTTTTAAATTAATTATGATATTTTTATATTATTATATATATTATAATATATATATATATATGTTATATAATTATATTATTATAATATTATTATATTAATATGAATTTGTCACATGCGAGCGGATATAATTATACAATAGCACATTGTTTCTGATTTGTCATAAATGATCCATTATAATAAATAACCCGTTATATTTCAACTTTCAGGTCCTGATACAATAAGTGAATCTTTCAACAAACTTCTTTAACTGAAAATAATTGTAAACCATGGGTCTTACTTGTGACAAATGAAGAAATTTAAATTCGTATATTTACAACGTACATTATGACTAAAACAGCCATAGAAGTGACAAGTGTTTTCAGACTTCAAAATGACATTCATTTTTGATTCAAGTCCCATTTCGTGCATTCTACATCTTAAATGAAACATTGAATGATTATGAATAGTGATTAGGTAAAAGAGGTTTGACAAGCATTTTTTTAATCAACCTAATATGTATTCGGGGTTTTTGTTAGCCAGCTAGATATTTTGTAACGTATTACATTGATTATTTTCTATTTTTTCATGGGGCAAACAGGTTTTGAAATGGCGTGTTTAGATAATTGATAACAAGACAACAAGCCTTTGTCAAAATCTCTGTCAGTCTTTTTTTTGTAACAATTATCGTTTCGTTTCTTTTCAAAACTGTATCTACAGCGTCAAACATACCAATTCATTGAAATTAAAACTCATATCACGAATTCAGAAGCTACACTTTTTGGATAAGAAGTTTGTTTAACTGGTCGTGTATCGATCTTTCTCAACTACTTAAGATTTATTATGATACATAAAGAATTAAAAAAGAAAAAACTGCCCAGCCTAACTAAAATGATCAGCATTAATTTAATTAAACAATAGATTCAGCATTCATTTTCAACAGAGCTTTGCGCGTTCAAACTTTAATTTCTTTTTTAAAGTCAAAGTCGAATCATATTTCAGTGCAATGCTTCTGAAAATGAAATCTTAAAGAAAAATTTATTTAAAAAAAATTGAAATTACTCAGTAAGCTAATAAATTTCAGCATTAATAAATCAAGAACAAATTAATAAAAAAGATAATTTGTTTATGAATTTATAACATAAATTTATAACAGTAATTAAAAGTTTACCGTCCGTAGATAGTTTCAAGTTACGGTTCAACATTTTGAAACTATTTTGTTGCCCATCTAAAGCAAGCCATCAGTCGGTCGGCGGGCGAATCAACTTAGCATGTTGTTTTTATGATGCAAAAGAATCAATTCACCGATTGAATGCACATTATTGTCAAACAGTTATATTTGTTTAGCGTTATTTACCGTTTACAGATTCAATAATTTTGCCTCTATAAAATCTGAACTCTCTCGAAGTATTTTTGAATGTTTGCAATTATCACAAAGTCAAAAACATCAATTTATTTATTGAATCTAATTCAAATTTACAGCGTTTTAAAACAACTTCGACTTGATCATATGTATCTTCTTAATGATATGCCTTTTAATATAAGAAGAAATACAAATATTAAAAAAACAACAATCTACGAAATGAAGATTGGAAAAACTTTGAAGAACCACAGCACTTTGAAAAGCAGAGTGCTAACGATAATCGCATTTGAATGTGCTTTGATGGTCGTCTTGTTAGAGACAGTGCATTCGGCAGTCAGGCCTTACAAGCGATGCAACATCAGCAACCTACATCTTCGCAACTCAACAAGGACTGTCGCTCTACTCTGGAATCATCCGAGACTCCCGAAAACTCTGATTCCTCAACTGTATCAGGTTCTCATCCATCCTGACTTCAAAAAATTTAATTTCTCTGGGTGGTCTTGCGTTGAAGTGGGGGTGAACGTCAGTACTGACTTCATTGTTATCAACATCAAAGAACTTCAGGTGTCGAGTGTTGTCGTCTAGCATAAAAATCGACAAGGTAGTTTTAAATAATTTATAATACTTTTCAAAAAATACTTAGTGGTGTTATTAATCTTAGTAACAAATATTGTTTTATTATGAAGTTTTTTGATATCAGTTACGTGTCACTTGAACACCACCAGACAAGATAGAAGTGAAGGAGTACACAATCGTGGAAGCATTGGAACAAATGCACATTCAACTGAAATCCTTCGTAATAAAGGGTGACATGTTGTTCATCAATGTATCGTTCCAGGGAAATCTTGCATTGAAACTGGCTGGATTTTTCCTGAACTACTATATAAATAACGCCGGTGAAATAAGGTTGTTTTCACTTCAATTGACGAAATGACATCAGATGCCACGAAAATTTAACATTTTGATGCAAAACACAAATATATAGAAAATCTATTTAAGTTTTATGGTATAATTTCAAATTTTAACTTAAATGGATTATGAGCAAGTCGGGATTAAAAAATATTTGTGATTGTAAGAATAATTTCAGCGTAACACTCCGCCACATATCAATATAATGTTTGTAGACAATTGGCAGCCACTCAGTTCCAACCGATGTTTGCCAGGAGAGCCTTCCCCTGCTTCGACGAGCCAGACATGAAGGCACGTTTCAAGTTCAGCATCGTTAGGCCGAATGATTACATCTCACTGTTCAACACTGAGAAGGTCCCTGTTGACGTTTGTAAAAATTGCGGCGTACTCGAATAGCTTGCGTGTTTATAATCAAATATTTGATTTGAAACAACGAGGAAGAAATTCAATCCCAACAAAAATATCAGCATGAATGAGTTTCAATATATATCTGAAAATTTTTTCGACCTTTCCATAATATCTTGTTCACTAAATTCTTTTTAAATTATTAAATAACAGTTAAATAACTTGTTAGGCATGGTTTGGACCTGAATTTGTTTCCAATAAATTTACGGATTATATTAATTTTTCTAGATATTTATTTTCAAAACCAGATTTTTACTTTAACCTTGTGAAAAATAATTTCTTCAAAACGTTCTTCCTTCCAGACATTAGAAATTGTAACATTTTTTTGTGCTTTAAAATACTCGAGCTTTGAACCAATTTGTTAAATGGAAAACAGGTAGCAGAGCGGGCAGTTTCTGCCAACGAAACCATGGACATCTTCAAGACAACCGTCAAGATGAGTACGTACCTGGTTGCATTCGTTGTTTGTGACTACGTGTCGAAATTTCAAATCAGCAGCAGTGGAGTCAATGTTAGTTTTGGGAGTTGTCGGTTTACTGGGAATTCGTTATCTTTCAAACCTAATAAGCAAGAAATTGTTGTTCTGAAAGGTCTGATGAACTTGATTAACTTTTGGAAAAATATTCTCTAGTAGTTTAGAGATCGTATGACGTTAAATCGATAAACCAGTTAAGATTACATCGTTTCCAGGTCATATTACAGTTGATTTTAATTCGTAGAAAACCAGATATTTTAACTTTTATCCACTACATCAAGGTTTCCGTGTACTCTCCAAAAGAAATCACCAACCAAATAATTTTTTCTCTCAACACCGCCACTGAACTGCTCAACTTTTTTGAAGATTATTTTCAAATCAAGTATCCCCTTAAAAAAATCGGTAATGTTCTAAATTAATTTTGGCATGTTGGCGTAGAGGTCTGTGATATTTTTAACTAGTTGTTTATTAATCCCAAAATTATTTTATTTGAGTTCAAATTGAAATAAATCTTTGCTTTGCATGTTGAACTTGTTACAAAGCAGAATAAAAAATAATAATAAAATTAAAAGAAGCTAGATGGAACTTCTTTAACGTCAATTTAGGATAAAATTGAAAATCTTCTGCACGTTTTGGGAAATTAAATACAAGAATGATTTTTCTTTTCAAATTTCCACCAGACCATGTAATTGTTCCCACTATGAGTGAGGTGGCAATGGAGAACTGGGGACTCATATTCTACGGACCGAAACACCTCTTCTACAATGAGAGCATCAACACCGAACATGACAAACTGTTTACAGTTTTTTTCCTAGCACACGAGTTGGCACATCAGGTTCTTTGTTTACTGGAAAATGCTCAATAAACTAACGTATTGATGAAGTATTGTGTTTGTTTGTTTTACTTTATTTCATCAATAGTTAAAAAGAATTGATATAATATTGTCAGTGGTTTGGCAATCTTGTGACCATGGAATGGTGGGATGATCTATGGCTGAATGAAAGATTTGCCACATTTTTTCAATATGTTGGCGCCAAACACATCTTTCCAGACTGGCCTCTAGTCAGTTGGTGGTGGTTCTCGCAGACTGTTTTAATATTGCATCAATACTATTTCTTATTATTTTTTTTTATGTTTTTTATAGATGGTTTTTGATCAGTGAGTGTGCTTTGAAAAAATATTTGAAAGTGATTAATAAATTATTAAAAATTAATTATTATGAGTTGCATGCTATTATTTTCACGTGGTTTATATTTAAATTTTATGAACAGATTTTTGACAATTTATGAAAATACTTTTTCACATGACTAGCAACAATTAAATTTATGCTGCGTTATGTATTGCTGTAAATTCATTTTAAATTATGACTGAATTTTGTCAAATCTTTAGAAAGAAAAGTTCACCCTGAAACTGATGGAGCCAGCCATGGCGTCTGATTCGCTGGAAAGCAGTAGTTCATTATCTGGTCCCAAACCAACGCTTGACTCTTCAAATGTGGGGATGCTATTCAATCAAATAACCTACAGCAAGGTTTCTATATACATTTCATTGTTTTATTTTCATTCTATTTAATCTGCAACAATTTATTTATTTAAGCTACAACGTAGAAAAAGCAAATTTTACTTTTTGATGGGTTATACAATTTTAAATGATTATTTTAAGTAAATAGTCTTTTTCATTCTTAAGAAAAATAATCTCAAGTTAAAAGTTACTCGTTATAATCGGTTACTTGTTCACCTTGAACTTTTTGTCATAAATCGTAAAACATTTTTAATTTTTTTAAATTTTTTTTTCAGGGAGCTTCGGTTATTTTCATGTTGGAAAATGTAGTAGGATCCAAAATTTTCAGGAAGGCTCTAACAAATTATCTAACTAGACATCAGTTTGACAATGTCAACCATAACCAACTCTACGATTCTTTCACTGAAGAAGTTGCAAGTGTAATTATTGTCATTGTTTTTATCGTTACTTTAATTATATGACATGTAGGTAGGTAGTTTCAAAATGTAACAAAATTGTTAACTGAAAATTGGGTAATAAATTTGAAATAAACATCAATCATGAATGAACTGAGGAAAAACAACAGCAAGTGCTAACTTAACTCCATAAATTTATAAATTATGTTTCCCAAATTGTGTGCAATCGTTTTATTGAAATATAGTTGAAATACAATTTTTAACAATAATACTGTTATACATAATTCAGGTTGCGATAAAATGTTTTGATTGTTTCTGGGTAAATTTGGCCAAACAATCTAAGCTACACGTTTTTCCAGGCAAAAGACAAAACGCACATTAACATAAGAAAAATGATGGAAAGTTGGACGCTGCAAGCAGGCCTGCCAGTGGTCAGCATCATCAGAGATGGACGTAATGTCACCTGCCACCAAGAAAGATTCGTGGTCAGTGGTACTTCAAAGCTGGGAAACTTCAGGATGAAGTCCACTCAATTTAAGTAAAGTTTGATATAGTTGCTTATTTGGAACCAGAGTAATAGTTTTTTTAGTGAGAGACGTATTTTTCAGTTAGTTGTCTGAGAAAAAACTAATAAATCAAAAGTACAATCAGAAGTATTTCAATATTTATTATAAATTTTAAACAGAATTATTGTAATAATGAAATTAAAATTTAAAAATTTTGTGTTATATTTAGAAAAAATATTTGGTATATTCCACTGACGTATGTAACAAGCACTCATCAAAATAATTCCTCCATCGTCTACTTGGAAGAAGCAAAAAGTAAGAAGTTTCAATGATGTTTTCAGTGCTGCTGACACAAAATGACTTTACTGATAGTTGTACTTGCAGTCGTATTTAATTTTTATTAAATTATTTTGTTGTGAAATGATTTTGAAAAAAAACCTTGAATAATAAAATTTTAGCTAATTATTAAGATTAAATTGTTTTTCAAAGTAATTTGTTTTTATTGACTTTTGTTTATTTTGAAATATTCTTTGTTTAAAATTAAATCTTTTGTTGTCCGTTCAGTGCATTTTGTACTGCAAGACGATGTTGATTAGTTGAAGGCAAAAATCTCAGATTTTAAATAATAACTAACTAAATAGTGGTCTTCAAACTTTGTAAAAATTTGTTCGTAATTGAATAATGGACAAACTTAATTAAAATTGAATGAATATTGACATTGACATCTATTTATTAAAAATTTTACTGGACACCCTTCTATACAGTTGAAATCATTCCTGGACAAACACTTGCCCGCTGATCCTCAGTGGTCGAGTGAACTTCTGAATGCTGTCGTTAGGAGGATAAATTGGAGAAAAAAGTTTGAGGACCAGATGGTCCAGTGGCTGAATGAGCAAATAATAAATTAGTTTTGTAGAGAATTATATAATTTTAATATTGTTCAATCTTTTTGGGGATAGCAATAAATGTTTTGTATTTTTTTAAATTTTTTAGTAAATTGAAATCATTATTAATTTTTTTCAACGATGTTGTTGCAGCATCGATTATTTATGATAAACACATCATTGAATACATTATTTCTGTACGAATATAACCTAATTCATCATAAAAGTTTATAGATTATTTTTTCATAAAAAATTTTTATTGTTTATGACGATTCCACATTCATGAATATTGGCATTGTATCACTCGCACAAAAAGTCTGGAGTAATAGTATATTACAATGTGAAAGTGCCATGAAAAAAGATTTTCTCTCAGCATCTGCCCAAGCTTATAACGAGTTGGGCCGTTGATCTGAAGAAATTTTAACACCCTAAGTTGAAGTGACTTCAAAATGCGTTTAAAAATCATTTATTCTGCTACAAAGAGGAAAGTGGGGAGAGGGCGGCTGAAGTCAACTCATTAGAGGTGCTGCACATGTTCTGCGGTACGATGTCGCCAGTCGTTGCTACAACAAAAGTTTAATTAGCAACTAAATAAAGATTGATGATGCGATAGCAGCAGAGTTTCGGAGTCGGATAAAAAATATTCGACTCCGGTTCCTCAAAAAATCAAATCCGACACCAACTCTGGGTAAAAATTTCTGACTCCAACTCCGACTATCGACTACGAGTTTGGACTCCCACAAAAAATTTTTAACTTTTGTTTCATAATTTCATCTTATTATCATAATTGTTTTTTTAAGTAAAATTACTGTATTATTATTTATGTTTTTTCTATTATTATTATTAGTTTTGTTTAAATAAACATGCAAAATTCTATATTATGTGTGTTAGTTGTCCATACCAATGTGTTTTGAACTAACAAAATGTTAAAACTATATTTCCTTTTTACAAATTTGATTTTTAATAAATAGACTTTGCAATCATTTAATCAGCATTAATTTTCTGGTTTAAGGCGTGTTCTGTTTTGTATTTGGTTAACTTGCTCACAAGCCTCAGTTTCAAAATTAAATCATTATACTGAATGGCAATCACAATTCTTTTGAAATGTTTGCATTGGATCAAAAGAATAGTACAATGAATAAAAGTGAAAAATTGAGGTAATGTGTATTGTCTGCTAATATATAATTAAAATTGCATTGCCGGTAACAAATAAATAAGATAGTTAATGAATATAACCGTAATAACAATGTACACAAATGTAACTTTTGAACGCTGTTAAATAAGTTCATGGTTTACCAGATCAGATTTTAACGTCTGGGACATATCGCACGTTGAAATATGCTCTACACAGACAGAACGCCACACACACACACACACACACACACACACACACACACACACACACACACGAACACTCATATGTTTCTATGAATGTTCATTTCATGGTTCTATATAAAAAGTTTATCATCAGGACAACTCTGAATTCTGACCAGATATATTTATTGTTTGAAGTCAAAACTTGTACTTTGGCTGACCAAATTGTTCACAATAATGTTGCTCATTTCAACATCGTGCGTATAAGTATAAATACATTTTAAGTTCAGAGATGTTATATAAAACTTGAAAAAAATTTTTTATTTTTAAACTAGGAGTTTGTAGAGAAATTGAATTACATTTGGATATGTTTTATTAACTTAAATTTTTGAAACTTTCTGAAACGTCTAGAAATGTATTTCAAAAGTATTTCATTGGTATGTACGTTCTGCACGATCCTGCTGCAGTCAGCACCACCAACATCTCAGCATCAGGTCCTGATGTTGCCAATAAATATGAACTCTCATCATATCTATTTCGCCAGATTGGGACAAGGTCTGTCCAAGTTGGGGCACTACGTCGAAATGATAGTTCCCTCCAATGCAAAAATCTCGCAAGAATTCAGTAATGGGAGTTTCGTCATTACAAAATATCATGTTGAATCAAACGTTTCCGTCTTCAACACAAAAGAGACATCAGATTTCTTAACTAGTTTTAGCTTGAACAAACCAAATGGTTTTCAATACATGAAAAGAGGAATTGCAATGTTCAATTATTTGGTTGAAGGAACGGATACTGATTGCAGGACATTAATGACGAATAAAGAGTTGATTGATCAATTGATGCACAACAGATCATTTGATTTAGCAATATTAGATGTAATGAGCACCGATTGTTACGTATTTCTGCCAAAGTTGTTGAAGATAAAATATTTTCTCTTCTCTATATCTTTCGAAACTTGGTTTTTTGGTATTCCGAGACTTCCTTCTTTTGTTCCAAGCAACAGGGCGACACATTCAGATCGTATGACATTCTCGCAAAGATTTCAAACATTTGTTGCAGATGGTTTAACTATGTTAACGTACATGGTACTACCAAGACCACCATTCTCGAAAGAATTTTTTAACCAAACTTTCAAAAGTGAATTCTTTTTTGACACTTTCAAAAATGTGAGCTATTATTTGTTTTTGGAAGATCTAACTTTAGGATACCCACGCCCGAACATGCCTAACACGATGAGTGTTGGAGATATTGTGGTTGGCTATCCAAGTTACCCTCTTCCATACGAGTTGGATAAATTTATAGGAAACTCAAACGCCATATTAGTTTCATTTGGAAGTTATGTAGAATACCTAAATGAAGAAACTGTGAAAAAGTTTTGTTCTTCTTTCCAAAGGTTGGAAAACTATAAATTTATTTTCAAGTCAAAAAACAAAACACTTTGTGGCGATCACTCCAAAAATTTGTTAATTCAGCCATGGATCCCCCAAAACGATTTATTAGCTGACAGTCGCATAAAACTGTTTGTAACCCACGGTGGATTCAACAGCATGATGGAAAGTGTGTATCACGCCAAACCCGTTGTTATATTCCCATTAATAAATGATCAGATCAGTTTGGCTTCATACGCTGAAAGACACAATTATGGAGTTGAAATGGACTTTGGTAACTGGAAAGTTGATGAACTTAGAAACAACATAATTCGTGTTTTGACCAACAAAACATTTGAAGAAAGTATTAAAAGGTCATCCGATATACTGAGAGATAGGAAAACGTCAGCTGCTGAAAGAGTTTCAGACGCCATAAACCACGTGGTGAAGTATGGAGATGAACATTTGAAGTCTGGTGCACTGGATTTGTATTGGTTTCAATTTATCATGTTCGACATCTTCTGCGTTTTGCTATTAACAGTTTTATTTGTCGCACTAATCGTAACTTTTATAATTAAATTCATTTTTGATACTTTTTTTAATTTGTTTAATTTCAAAGAAAAGCCTAAAAAAGAATGAATAAAGATTCACAAAAGTTTTCATATTATTTACTAAAATTGTATTTTAGAATCCCATTTTGGTTCAGGCGTTAAACACATTTAACACTACTGTTAGTGTTTATCCAACATTTGTATTAAAAAAGATTGCTACTTTACTCTGACTTTTTTTTATAAATCCTCAACACTGAAAAATCAAAAATAAAATTTAGGCTAAATAAAAATTTTTTAGTCAAGGAAAAACAAGTTCAAACGACTTTTTTCCACGTATATGTTTACCTGTCTACAATTAAATTGTGAATGTAGTGATTTTCTGGTCTGATGCTGTGGAACTTGAAACATGCATTCGTTTGAGTCTCGTCAGAACAGTGCAAAAGCGGTCCATGCATCTCACTTTATAATTCAAAAATATTTATGATTCAATTTTTGCTTCAGTTTAATAGAGGTAGGTGGTTGGGCATAAAATTTAATTTTTTTTTGCTAAATATAACAATAAAGTAAGCAGTTTTCAGATGTCGTGTGTTAAATAAACAATAGATATGTAAATTGTATCTTAACAAGTGAATAAAAAAAATTATACTTTTCATTACGTTGTATTATTATCAATGAATGGTTACAAATCATCATTGCTGAACTAGTCACTCAAAACTTGTCAATCCAAACGATGTAAGTTTCTTGAAAATTCAGTTATTTTAAACCTAATAGCAGCTGATCCCGAAGGCAATAACTTGCACCGACTATCACACATTCCTCCTAGCCCAAAAAACATATCACTAAAAATCAGGATAAAACTTGCGCAGACTAGGCAAATAAAATGTTTTGCCTTTTTTGTCGATCAGACTGTTTGGCCTTTTATTTCTTCATGTTGAAATAAAAGTACAAATACAAGGAATGAAAGTACAAGAAAACATCAACACAAGCTCTACAAACAAAGATTCAATAAATGTAAATGTAAATTATTTTTTTTAACACAGGGCTGGGCTAATTACGGCAAGTTATTTTATACGGCCCGCGAAGACTTGTTCGCTAAAAAAAAGTCGCCGGCCAGACAATATGACCAAAAAAAAGGAAAAAAGAGCTACAAATCTTAAAAATAATCCTCTCCCGGGTCGAACAATTTGCTATTTAAATACATATGCGGTCTTTCAAAGGTAAAATAGTTTTCTATGCGGCCTCCACAGAAAAAAGTTAGCCCATTAACAGGCTATTGATAATTGGAATGGATTCAAAAGTGATGTAATGAATGCGAGCGATGTCACTTCATTTAAGAAATACATTGGTTTTAACTTTAGAAACTCGCCATGTAAATTTAATTTCAGGCAAATTCATTTT